CAGCCTATGGAAGGAGACGTTGGGGAGGCTGACAAGCAAGGCGTTTGCATAGTCGAGCCTGAATATAATGAAAGCGTGTATGAGGGTTTTGGCGGCCTGCGATGTGAGTCAGTGGCAGAGCCAGTCAATGTTGCAGAAGTGGGGGAAGGCAGAGCGTGTCATGGCGCAGATGTAGGGTAGAAAGGAGAGTTGAGGGCCAAACAAGACCCCAAGGTTCTGGACTGGCTCAGTGAGGGGGAGCCTCCGTGGATCCTTCGATGGTGATGCTGTCAACACCTGAGGTGAGGAGGCACTGATTGGAGCCAATCAGGAGCCTCGGTCTTGTTGACATTTAACTGAAGAAAGTTCGCTCTCATCCAGGACTTGATGTCTGACAGACATTCTGTCAGGACAGCAGTGGTCTTGGATTCAAGGGTGGAGGCAGAGAGGTAGAGTTGGGTGTCATCCGCATACATGTGGAAGTTGACCCCATGTCTGCATATGATATCTCCAAGAGGAGTGATAATGGATAGGATAGTTTTTAAGGATAGGAGTGATGATGGGCAGCACCAGTAGTGAGCTTGGTTGTGTGTGTGTGTGCATTTTTTCAGGTCTGCCTGTTCTCTGACACATACAGAAATCCATCATCATGCTTGAGAATAGCCAAATCAGTCTTAAGAGATCCATAATAATAATAATAATCCTTGCATTTGATGGAGCTTTTCACGTCTTCTAGACGTCGCAAAGCGCTTCACAGAATATGCTGTAAAGTGAATTGACTATATATTTGTGGGCGAAACGCGGCAGCCAATTGTACACAGCAGCGTCCCACAAACAGTCGTGGATTGAAAATGACCAATTTATTATTTTTTTTTGGAGGGATTATTATTAGGCTCTGTGTGGAGTAAAGAAACTTGCCCAAGGTTTCACCCTCTGCCTGGAATTGAACCCAGGTGTCTTGCTCGCAAGGCGAGTGCTCTAACCACTGAGCTACAGGACTCCACACATTTATCAGTGTGTCAGCCTGGTACGATTATAATAATAGTAATAATCCTTGCATTTGATATAGCGCTTTTCACGTCGGGAGGACGTCCCAAAGCGCTTCACAGAACACACTGTAAAGTGAATTGACTGTATATTTGTGGGCGAACGCGGCAGCCAATTGCGCACAGCAATGTCCCACAAACAGTCGTAGATTGAAAATGACCAATTTATTATTGTGTTTGGTTTTGGAGGGATTATTATTAGGCTCTGTGTGGAGTAAGGAAACTTGCCCGAGGTTTCGCCCTCTGCCTGGAATTGAAATCAGGTCTCTCACTTGCAAAGCGAGTGCTCTAACCACTGAGCTACAGGACTCCAGTTGTATAATGTATAATCCAATTGTAGCACTCTCGCCTGCAAGTCAGAAGGTTGTGGATTGAAGCCCTATGTTGGGACTTGGAATTATATAGTCTAAGCTCCAAGCTCACACTCCAATGCAGTGCTGGAGGGGTGTTGCATTGTTGGAGGTGCCATCCTTTGGATGAAACGTTAAACTGATGTCCCAGTTGCCTGTTCAGGTGTGTTAAGATCCCATGGCAGTATTTTAAAAGAGGTTGTATTTCCTGTTGTCCTAGCCAACAATCCCCTAAATAAAATTGGTCACTCACTCCATAGCTGTTTGTGGGACTGGGTGATCATGCTGTGCTTCACTCACAAAATACAGTCGATCCACTTACAGTATATCCTGTGAATCGCATTGAGATATTTAAACCACATGATAAGGTACTATATGAAATCCAAGGATTATTATTATTAATCGTTTTACAGTTTATTTTGATGGTTTGGTTGCGGATGTAAGGAAAATTATCTATATTAATAAAGACGAAATGTGTTTGTGCGTGTGTATGTCAGGCCAATAATGCAATAACCGATTGATGGAGAGACATGATTTTTACCTCATCAGAAAGGTCTTGCAAGTGGGACTGTCATGGGCATCCTTTTTTTATGGGATCTCCTTTCGTTGATGAACTATATTTAAAAAATGCTTTAATTAAGCCAAAGTATAAGGCATGGTATTCTGCAACACAGTAGCGAGAGAGGAAATCACACACCTTTCTAGAGATATACATCTATACTAATATATTCTGCAACAAAATAGTGACAGAGAAACCCATGGGCAAATATTTGGGGGAACTCCTATTGTTATGTAAAGTACGAGCTGTACCCGTTGCAGCTACGCTTGCAGCTAAAGGATCCAATATGGAATGTAGATATCAGTATTATTATACTTTATATTATTATACTTCACAGTATGTCACTATATAATAATAATCCTTGCATTTGATATAGCGCTTTTCACGTCGGGAGGACGTCCCAAAGCGCGTCACAGAACACACTGTAAAGTGAATTGACTGTACATTTGTGGGCGAAAGCGGCAGCCAATTATTATAATACTTTATTATACTTCATATTATAATACATTATATTATTGTACTTTATATTATATTATTATACTTGATATAACGATGAGAACCCCCAAAAATAAAAGTAGCGACAGAGGAAACCACTCCCGCATACAAGACCATTCGAATGAGACATAAATCATGTCCCTGCGTCAGTCGGTTATTGTGTAATGACTTGCCACACAGACACACACACACATTTCATCTTCATCAGTATAAATAATATTAAAAAATGTATTAATATTGGGCGCTGGGGGGAGGAGCGGCTAGGGCTGCGACGACGCTGGGAGGAAGGGGCGAGGGCGGCTGCTGGTGTGGGAGTGACAAGGCCGGCGGCGCTGGGGAGGATGAGAGTGGCGGTGGGGGAGGGCAAGTACAGTGGCGGGGGGGGGGGGCAAGGGCTGTGGCACTGGTGGGGGCAAGGTATGCGGCACTGGGGGCGGGCAAGGACTGTGACGCGGGGGGGTGAGGGATGCGGCACTGGGGAAGGGCGAGGGCTGTGGTGCGGGGGTGGGGGGCGAGGGCTGCGGCGCTCGTGGAAGCCAAGGCTGGGGCTTGGGGGGGATCGGCTGGCGCTGGGTGTGGGCTGGCGCTGGGGGGGGGCTGGCGCTGGGGGGGGGCTGGCGCTGGGGGGGGGGGCTGGCGCTGGGGGGGGGCTGGCGCTGGGTGTGCATTGGCGCTGGTGGGGGCCAGCGTTGGGGGGGGGGGCGGTGCTGGGTGGGGGCCGGCGCTGGGCGGGGGCCGGCGCTGGGTGGGGGCTGCGGTTGGGCTGGCGCTGGGGTTGGGCTGGGGTTGGGCTGGCGCTGGGGGTGGGCTGGCGCTGGGGTTGGGCGGGCGCTGGGGGTGGGCTGGCGCTGGGGTTGGGCTGGCTGTGGGGGGGAGTTGCGAGTTGGCTGTGGGGGGGAGTTGCGAGTTGGCTGTGGGGGGGGGGTGAGGGCTGGCTGTGGGGTGGGGGGGTGAGGGCTGGCTGTGGGGTTGAGGGCTGGCTGTGGGGGGGGGGGGTGAGGGTTGGCTGTGGGGTGGGGGGGTGAGGGCTGGCTGTGGGTGGGGGCTGGGAGGGGGGGGGAGGGCTGGGAGGGGGGGGGGAGGCCTGGCTGTGGGGGGGGGGGGAGGCCTGGCTGTGGGGGGGAGGCCTGGCTGTGGGGGGGGGGGGAGGCCTGGCTGGTGTGGGGGGGGGAGGCCTGGCTGTGGGGGGGGGGGAGGCCTGGCTGTGGGGGGGGGGAGGCCTGGCTGTGGGGGGGGGGGGGAGGCCTGGCTGTGGGGGGGGGAGGCCTGGCTGTGTGGGGGGGGGGGAGGCCTGGCTGTGGGGGGGGGGAGGCCTGGCTGTGGGGGGGGGGGAGGCCTGGCTGTGGGGGGGGGGGAGGCCTGGCTGTGGGGGGGGGGGGGGGGGGAGGCCTGGCTTGTGGGGGGGGGAGCCTGGCTGTGGGGGGGGGGGGAGGCCTGGCTGTGGGGGGGGGGGAGGCCTGGCTGTGGGGGGGGGGGAGGCCTGGCTGTGGGGGGGGGGGGAGGCCTGGCTGTGGGGGGGGGGGGAGGCCTGGCTGTGGGGGGGGGGGGGAGGCCTGGCTGTGGGGGGGGGAGGCCTGGCTGTGGGGGGGGGGGAGGCCTGGCTGTGTGGGGGGGGGGAGGCCTGGCTGTGGGTGGGGGGGGAGGCCTGGCTGTGGGGGGGGGAGGCCTGGCTGTGGGGGGGGGAGGCCTGGCTGTGGGGGGGGGAGGCCTGGCTGTGGGGGGGGGGGTGAGGGCTGGCTGTGGGGTTGAGGGCTGGCTGTGGGGGGGGGGTGAGGGTTGGCTGTGGGGTGGGGGGGTGAGGGCTGGCTGTGGGTGGGGGCTGGGAGGGGGGGGGAGGCCTGGCTGTGGGGGGGGGGGGAGGCCTGGCTGTGGGGGGGGGGGGGAGGCCTGGCTGTGGGGGGGGGGAGGCCTGGCTGTGTGGGGGGGGGAGGCCTGGCTGTGGGGGGGGGGGAGGCCTGGCTGTGGGGGGGGGGGGAGGCCTGGCTGTGGGGGGGGGGGAGGCCTGGCTGTGGGGGGGGGAGGCCTGGCTGTGGGGGGGGGGGGAGGCCTGGCTGTGGGGGGGGGGGGGGCCTGGCTGTGGGGGGAGGCCTGGCTGTGGGGGGGGGGAGGCTGGCTGTGGGGGGGGGGGGGAAGCCTGGCTGTGGGGGGGGGGAGGCCTGGCTGTGGGGGGGGGGGGAGGCCTGGCTGTGGGGGGGGGGGAGGCCTGGCTGTGGGGGGGGGGGAGGCCTGGCTGTGGGGGGGGGGGGGAGGCCTGGCTGTGGGGGGGGGGGAGGCCTGGCTGTGGGGGGGGGGGAGGCCTGGCTGTGTGGGGGGGGGAGGCCTGGCTGTGTGGGGGGGGGAGGCCTGGCTGTGGGGGGGGGAGGCCTGGCTGTGGGGTGGGGGGGAGGCCTGGCTGTGGGGGGGGGAGGCCTGGCTGTGGGGGGGGGGGGGAGGCCTGGCTGTGGGGGGGGAGGCCTGGCTGTGGGGGGGGGGGGGAGGCCTGGCTGTGTGGGGGGGGGAGGCCTGGCTGTGGGGGGCGGGACTAGCGGTGCCGGGGAGCGGCTGCCGGAAGCGGAAGCGGAAGGAGCCGGGCTCGCTGGCGGGCGGGAGGGCGCAGATGGCGGCGCGATGGGGAACCGGGGACGAGGTAAATATCACTGAAAAACAGGGAATATGTGAAGTTGGGCCCCGCCCGCAGCTGAGGATCAGCGGCTGTCAAGTGATGGGGGTCGGGGTCGCCTCCCGTGATCGAGGCCGCGTGAGCGGAGTCCCGGGTGTGACTTGTGGAGATCGGCGGTGACACGTGTATGAGCGGCGCCGCGGCCACACAACAGGGAAAGCTCCCACAGGGGCCGCAGCCCCTGAGGCTCAGGCCGAGCGGCACCGACCCCCCGCCCGGACACGACGGCAAAGATACGGAGCGGGAGCCCGGGGGCAGCCGGACTCGGACACGTGTTTCCTTGTAGGACCCATGTGCCGGCCGGCGGCCTCGGGGCTGCCTGCACTGTGCCGGCAGGAGGGGCCCCGGGTGGGTGGGCTGTGCCGGAGGGGGGAGGGGGGGTCCGGGCGGCAGGAGGGCTGTGGCAGGTGTCGGCGCTGCCACACGTGTGGGCGCCGCTCTCAGAGTCGGGTCCGAGCTGTTGGTGTGGGGGAGACTGCGGACCCGCTCCCAACTCACTATTTATTGTTAAAAGCTGAATCTCACAAGTTGCGGTCTGACAGCATTGCGGAGGCTCAGCGGCTCCAAACGGTGAAGATTGGGGACAAACTTAACGATTGTTTGAGATCCCGGAATCGCTGCCGGGACTCCCGGTGGTTAACGGGTCACGAGCGGCAGAGAAAGTTTCCCCAACTCGCACTGTAGCTGCAGATACCGCGGCCCGGACACGTGTTGCTGATCGCTGCCTCTCCAGCGCCGGAGGACCCGGGACTGTCGCCGCCCAACTTAATATTAAATAACAAGACTTGGGCATTTACCAGAAGAATTCCCCCCCAGGAACTTTACAGCTGAACTGGAAGTGAAAGTGGAAAACCTATTGTTGGGAATGAGGTGGGAGGAGCTGAGAGACTCAGTCTAACCTGTCAGGTTATTAGATTATGACAGATCTTTTAATACAAAATTACATTTGTAAAGCAACTTTCACTTTCTTCATAGTTATTGTTCATATGTTTTATCTGCTAATTTATTTAACCATTTTATATGGGCTTCATCCCATTGAAATAGCTTTCTTCCATACCAAAAACTTTTTTTCTTAATTTATTCTTAATTTGTTTTCTTTCTCTATTCTCCCATAACAATATCTCTATTCTCCCTCAATTAGGTTAGGTTCACTATTTCTCAAATGTTTTCCTCCCTTTACTTACCATGGCATATTATTGGCAGTTTGCCTGCATAGTGCTCTGAATGGCAAGCTATGCAGTTTTAGCTGCTTAAACTCCAGCAGCACTCCATGCATACTCTGGGGTTCCCAAGCCTTGGCTCTTGCCGACATCTGCCCAATACTCTCTAAGTTAAGTAAGATGCGTGTGGCCCTCCAGGGAGATAGTGATCCTTCATAGGTCGCACACATGCAAATTTCTGTCTGGTTTGGATACTCTTAAGCATGCTGATGGGCATCCACATGTTTTTTTTGGTCGGCCTGCTCAATACGGAAACCCTCACCATGCTTAAGAGTATCCAATCCAAATGTTCCAAGCATCCCACCTAGACTTGGAAATTCCTGAGATATTTATTGGAATGGAATACGCACTTCAGCTGTTTATTTTGCTATATCAAATGCAAGGATTATTATTAAGTAGTGCTATGGAATCGTTAACGTGCACCTGAGTAGAGTTCCCCTCTCGACTATCTACCCCCTACTCGCTCCCTCCATTCCCTCCCCTCACCCTGACCATTTCCCCCCTGCTCGGGTCCCGACCCAACTGTCCAGCGCCTTGGGACGTCCTCCCGACGTGAAAGGCTCTCTATAAATGGAATCTTGTTGTTTTTGTTGTTGTATTTATAAAATCTTACCGCACAGAAGGAGGCTATTCGGTCCATCGTGTCTGTGTCAGCTCTTTGAAAGAGCTACCAACTAGTCCCACTCCCCTGCTCTTGCCCCATAGCCCTTCAACCCTTCCTTGCTAAAGTACTGGAACATATTGTTCAAGATCAACTTTGGTCCCCACCCTCCACTCCCTCCTCAAGGCCCCTACAATCTCGTTTTCTGGTCTCACAGCACAGTCAAATTCACAAACAACATCCTCACTATCTATGACCAGAGATCCCTCTGCTCCTCGTCCTCTTGGATCTCTTTGCCGGGTTCGACCCAATTGACCTTGCCATCCTCATTCACTGCGTCTCCTCCCTCATCCACTTTAGTGGGGTGGCACTCGCATGGTTTGAGTCCTACTTAACCAACCACCTCCACTTCATCTCGGCAAATGGTATCTCTTCCCACCCCCACCCGGTCACCTGCAGGGTACCCCAGGGCTCCATTCTTAGCCCCTTTTCCTCATCAATATGCTCCCTCTTAGCAATGTCATCCGCAGATACGGGGTAAACTTCCACATGTATGTGGATGACACACAAATCTACTTTGCCTCCTCCAGTATCAATTCCAGGTCCCCGATGTTCTATCAGCTTGTCTGGCAAACATCAGGGTCTGGATGAATGTAAACTTCCTGCAGCTGAATGTGGACAAGACGGAAGCCATACTCTTTGGCTTCCATCAGTGTCTTCACTTCTGCGGATCTAAACTCCTCAACCTGGCTGGGCTCTCCCATCAGATTCACCGAACCAGTGTGCAATATAGGTGTCTGGGTCGACCCCCAGCTGTCCTTCCTCCCACACATCCTGACCAGGACCTCCTTTCTTCACCTCCACCACATTGCCCGTCTCCAACTGTACCTTACCCCAAATGCAGCCAAAATCCTTGTCGTGCGTTTGTCACCTCCTGCCTGTATTACTCAAACCCACTCCTCACAGGTCTCCCCAGCTCCACTGTTAAAAAATCCAGCTCATTCAGAACTCTGCCACCCGAATACTGACCCGGACCAAACTCCATCCCCACATCTCACCAGTTCTGGCCCAGGCTCCACTGTCTCCCCATCACCGAACCGATCAAGTTCAAGATCCTCACACTTGTGTTCAATCCCTTCACTCTCTGGCACCTCCCTATCTCTCTGGCCTCCTCACTCCCCAAACCACCACCCGGTGCCTCTGCTCGACTGGCACTGACCTCCGCTCATCCCTCGTACGCTCCACCCAACCATCGGAGGTTTGCACTTTCAGCCACTACGCTCTGTAACTCTGGAACACTCTTCCACAAACCCTCCGCCTTGCCCCCTCTCTTCCCTTTTTCAGGTCCCGTCTGAAAACCTTCCTCCTTGACCGTGCTCCCCCCCCCCCCCCCGTACTCGGAGTCAGGCTCCGCCATTATTATGCGCTCTGAGACACTACCCTGTGTGGAGGACGCTATATAAGTACAAGTTGTTGTTGCTTGACTTCAGATATTTGACATCCTCGTATAATCATCCCTGTCATACCACTGCAACAATACTTCTCACTAAATTAATTCTGTACACTGTCCTTCATTGATCCTGTATGAATCCAACAAAGTACAAATGAGACTCATTCTCTTCCGCCCCCGAATCACTCTCTTTCCCCTCTCTTCCCCCTCTTTTCCTCTATCTTTTTCACTCATATAGTCTCTCTCTCCCCTCACACGCTCTCTCAATCACCAATGTGCACCAGATCCAAGCAGAACACAGCAATTTTTTTACATCACCTGATACTTTTAAAGTAAATGCAGGTTTTCTTTGTAGCTGTAAGGCTGGATTGGAAATGTGTTGTGTGTATGAAGAGTTCAGTCTACATGTTCCATGGATGAGAGAAGGATCGCACTACATCCAGTCAGCATTATTTGCATTACTGGAATGTTTGACTGCCAATTAACCAACAAACCAGTGAATGACACAATAAACTGTTTGCTCTCTGGTGCTGACTTTGCATATTGAATCCAATTTGGATTAGCAGTAGATAGGCCCAGGGCTGAATATGTTTCTCCTGGTGGTCAATCCACCGGATAAAATAGGTTATTCACTTTGTGACTGCTTGGACATTGCTGTGAGGAAATTAATTGCTATGGTTGCCCCCAAAAATACACAATCACTTCACTTTATACTACATCCTACGAAGCGCTTTTTTATGTCATCCCAAAATAAAAGCACAATATTAAATACAAGAATTATTCTTTTAATAATTGCCAAAAGAAACAATATTCTCTGTATGGGAAAGTCCAGTTTTTCCCTAGGTACGTTTAATTGTTGAGGTTTAAAACTTTAATGATATAATTTCTGTCTTTTGGTCATTAATATTCTTTATGTACTGACTTCTCTCCAGCAGTGTGATGCCCTAGATGGTGAGGTGTGTGCCAGTCTTCCTGATCTCAACTTAACTGGGTTGGATGTTGGCGACCTAGATGCTGGAGGGATTTTCGGAGCATTTCAAGGCTATATTGATCAGTCCATAATCTCCATTATTGAGGACTCATCGTCATCAGAGGTAGAATAAGTGTAGAGATTCATTTACACTAAACATGCTGTTGTCATGATGAAACTGCTAATTGTTGTTTCGTGGAAATTTAAATAATAGTTTAATTAATCAGTCAGACAAAACGTGTTCCAAGAATTAAAAAAAATTCTACCCGTTTTCTGCTTCTCAATGGGCTGAATGGCCTCCTCCTGTTTCTTTGACCCTGAACTCATTTAACTTAGCTCTCTTTACGCATTCATATCCATGCCTTGACTGTAGATATTTAAGAAACGTTGATCTTGGTAGCTACAGGTGGAGTCCTGTAGCTCAGTGGTTAGAGCACTCGCTTTGCAAGTGAGAGACCTGAGTTCAATTCCAGTCAGACGGCGAAACCTTGGGCAAGTTTCCTTACTCCACACACCTAATAATAATAATATCCTCCAAAACTAAAAACTAAAAACAATAATTGTCAGAACATATTTTGTCTATTTACCAACTCTAACTCCATGTGGATAGGGTGTTGCGGGGAGCGATCTTTCTTTATTGGCCTAAGATGGAGTTGAAGGGGTTCTTGGTGAAGTGGGCTAATGGGTCATGTAGCAGTATATTATACTGGAGTGTTTGGTGTGTTGGAGGAAAATATATGCTGGAGTTATTAATTGCAGAAGAATAATTTAGCATTTTAGGTAGTCTTCAGTGAGATGAATGGCAGTTGGACAGATGAATGGCACACAGGAAGATTTTTGTGCATTAGAAATTGTGTTGCATCTCTTGGTCCAACAAGCTGTAAAGGCGAAATTGATAAGGATGTTTGAAAATGAGATCTACAGATAATTGGGTAGATACATAGATAAATGACTATTTATGAGATTAGATCGGAATCAAGCCAACCCTCTGCATTGGTCTCTCATCACTTCTGATGACAGGACCTGGTAGGCAAGACCAGTTCACAATGGACAAGGAATCCTTCCACTCAGCTCCGTTAACCCTGCAAACTAAAGCTCCTAATGGGTAGAGTGGTCCTAGCTGGAATTCTCGGCACTGTAGATGCTGGAATTCTCAACTTGGTTTGGATACTGTGTTTATATAAAACCTAGGTTAGAACACATTTGGAGTACTGTGTTCAATTCTGGTTGCCACATGACAAGAAGGACATATTAACATTGGAAAGAGAACAATGTACGTTTACTAGGATGATACCAAGGCTGGTAGTTACTGCTATCAGGATAGACTGGATAGGTCTTTTTAAGAAGAGAAGAAAAAGGGGACCAAATAGAGGTGTTTAAAATTACAGAATTTCAAGATAAATAGGCTATTCCTACTTGTTTAGGAGTCCTTAACCAGGGGACACCGGCCTCCGGTTTTCCCCTTATGCCCACCATTGGTGTCTGTACCTTCAGCCACTGCGCCCCGAAATTCTGAAACTCTCTCCCTCAATGCATCCGCCTTACCCCTCCCTCCCCATCTTCAAATCCTGCCTGAAGACTTTTTTGATCATTTTTATGGTCACCTTGCCCCTCCCTCTCCCCTGGCTTGTTGTCAGACTCTGCCACTGTAAAACGCTCCAGAACGCTACCCCGTGTTAAGGGTGTTATAAAAATGCTCGTTATTGTTGTTGTATAGATAGTGACTCGAGGACCTATAAGAGAATTTAGGCGGAACTGCTTCACACAGAGGGTTGTGAGAATGTAGAATTCGCTGCCTGAAGTGGTGGTTGAATCAGATCGTATATATGCATTAAAGAGTCAGCTAGATGTACAAGTGAAGGCAACAGAAATGTGTGGGAAGGAGTACGGAGTGATGGAGACTCATGTAGGGTATAAACACAGCACGGACTTGTTGGATCGAATGGCCTGTTTCAATGCTGTATAGTTTATGTAAATCTCATTGAATGAATCACGGAGGGAAAGGTGAGAATTTGACAAGTTGTGATACCAAATCTGGACTTCGAAAAGTTATCATTAAAAGCGGATAAACCCACTGCTTTGTCGAATTTGCCTATCATTGTGTCAAATGCTCATTAATGGCAGTTTGAATGTGAGCTGAAAGCAAATAAGTGAAAAAAGTGGAATGCTGTCCTTTGCTGCAAGGATTTTAAAGAAAGGAGGTGCTGCTCTAGTTATACAGTGTACTGGTCAGACCTCATTTTGAGTTTTGTTCAATTTTGGACACTCATTCTTAGAGAGGGTAAACTATCTCACAAAATTAATGCCTGAGTTGAAGGGTCCTATCTATAAGAGGCTGGGTAGACTGTTTTGAAATCTGTGGTGATGTGAGTGTATTTTTGAGTGGATCACAGAATATCTGCTTGGATAGTGCTGATTTACTTTCTAGATTAATGAGTGATTTGTATTTCATGTTATTCTAGTAAGAAATATTTACATTTCTTATTTACGGTTCAGGCCATTCCCTGGACCCTTCTCTATTCCCCAACTACCGTCCCATTGCCAACCTCCCTTTCCTCTCCAAGGTCCTGGAACGAGTTGTTGCTTCACTGCTTCCTCTCCCGCCTCTCTCTTCTCGAACCGCTCCAATCGGGTTTCCGTGCCGCCCACAGCACAGAAACCGCCCTAGTCAAAGTGACAAATGATATTCTGTCCATCTGCGACCAGGGCTCCCTCTGCCTCCTCGTCCTCCTTGACCTCTCTGCTGCTTTCGACACCGTCGACCACTATCCTCATCCACTGCCTCTCCTCTCACCTCAGCCTTCACGGTTCTGCCCTGGACTGGTTCAGATCTACCTCTCACACCGCCTGCACTTCATCTCCAGAAACGGCTTTGTCTCTCGCCCCCACACAGTCTCGTGCGTCGTTCCTCAGGGCTCCGTCCTTGGTCCCCTCCTCTTTAATATCTATATGCTCCCACTTGGTGACATCATCCACAGACATGGGGTCAACTTCCACATGTATGCAGATGACACCCTTGATTCCAGGATCACTGCTGTCCTGACTGAATGTCTGTCGGACATCAAGGTCTGGATGAGAGCTAACTTTATTCAGTTGAACGTCAACAAGACCAAGGTTCTCCTGATTGGCTCCCGTCAGTGCCTCCTCACCTCAGGCGCTGACAGCATTACCATCCATGGTTGCAAACTCCACATGACTAAGCCAGTCCGGAACCTTGGGGTCTTGTTTGACCCTCAACTATCCTTTCTACTCCACATCTGTGCCATGACCTGCTCTGCCTTCCGCCATCTCCGCAACATCGCCCAGCTCCGCCACTGTCTCACACCACAGGCCACAGAAACCCTCATACACGCCTTCATTACATCGAGGCTTTACTATACAAACTCATTGCTTGTCGGCCTCCCCAACTTCTCCTCCACAGGCTGCAGATCATCCAGAACTCTGCAGCCCGTGTCCTCTCATGCACTAGGCTTTGCGACCCTATCACCCCCATCCTTGCCCAACTCCACTGGCTTCCCCTCACACAGAGGATACAGCTTAAGATCCTGGTCCTCACCTTCAAAGCCCTCCATGCTCTTGCTCCCCCCTACCTCTTTAACTTCCTAACCACCTACCATTCTGTTCGCTCCCTCCGCTCAGCAGGTTCCGGCCTGCTTCACGTCCCCCGCCTCGCTTGCCCCACTATTAGCGGTCGCACCTTCCACCACTCTGCCCCCGCCCTCTGGAACTCCATCCTGCAGTCCCTCCGTCTCGACCCTCCCTCGCCAACTTCAAGACGCTTCTCTTCAACCGTGCTTTCAATCTCCCTGCTTCCCCTTTGCCCTCCACCCACCCTGACCACCCCAGCTCGGGTCTGTAACTCTTGTCTGTCCAGCGCCTTGGGACGTCCTCCCGACGTGAAAGGTGCTTTACAAATGTAATTTTGTTGTTATTGTTACATTCTATGCCAGTGTGAAGTATAAGATGATGCACTCATACTTTCTTTGATTATATAATTTGTATAATTGATAGGTTTGTTCTTTCTTTCCTCAGAATAAGCCCCACCTGGATGAGGAAACTGAAGCAACGCTTCTGACTGCCTTGACCGAAATTCTCGGCACTGTAGATGATGAAGATCTCTCTCCATTTGATACACTCCCAGACAATGAACTGTTTGCATCACCAAAGGATGGAGATGAACAAACTCTGGTATGAGAGAATGAGGAGTTGAATTTGAGGAAAGGATTTTAGTTGGAAGATATTTTGACTCAGCCTGCTTCTTCCCCTCCCCCCTTCTCCACCATCGTAATAAAGTTGTCATTTTGGAGAAAACAGTGCAGTAAATGTAATGGGTTCACAGTTCTTGGAAGATTTAAATTGTTAAAACAATACTGAAGTTACATTCCATATTCCTTGAAGAATGATAGCTGTTCCATGATCCAACTAATTATGAGCGACTAATTCATGGAATGCAGCTTGCAAACCCTGAATAAAATGTGTTGCTTGTGTAAAGAATCAATGTTCCTGAACTCTTCCAAAGCACAATCTCATTAACCTGAAAGATAATCCAAATTCAATCCTATAGTATCTAATTGCCTGAAGAAAAGCCAACTTCACACAAGGAAAAATCAAATCAAGTCATTTCTCTTATTGTTGGATTGTTACTCACTACATAGATCGCAGGAATATCTGCAGCAAATATTTAACTTATTATTTTGTAAATATTGACTAAAATATAAATACTTTCCCTCATTTCAGAGCCCCTGAAAATTATCATTATCGATGCTTGTATCCTGCAGTCTGTTTGCTGAGAGAGGGAGCTGTAGAGAGTTTTACTGCTTAACTTTGATACCTGATTCCAGGTTGAGGAAAGCAGGGCAATAGATGGATGTGGGAATCAGTTGGGTGGGGAGGGGAAAGTGAGATACAGTGGTAAGTTGGTTGGCTGGTTAGTTGAGGATAAGTGCCAATGATGTGTGTTCTACTGTGAATCTTGATTTGTTGTTATCAAGAGGATGATGGTAAATGTCACAATAACTCCAGAATATTCTTGTCTGTTGATGTCATTCATGGGATGTGTTTCAGGACCCGTGCAGAGATATTTTTGAAAACTTGATACCCATCATCTCCAGGAGTTCCAGTACAACGTGGAAGTCTGAGAAGAACGTGCCTAAAAACTTTAGAGCTGGATTATCACAGCAGCGGAGTGATGGAGAGGAGGAGGATGCAAATAGTATTGGGCAAGACATTGTCTCAGAGTCTGGAAGTGACTTTGTGGACGTTGAGTGGGATGAATCCATGGATGCAACTCCTTTGGGGAACGAAGTAACTCTGGGTTTATCTGTAATGGGACAGAGTTTACCGTGTGTTATTAATACAGAGAATGTCTCCCTAATTGACTTAGTTAAGTACATGCACCCTTACTGTCTACCAAATGGCACAGTTTGGCTGGAAGCCAATAATATTGAGGATTGTACTAAAACAAGAGAGAATGGAGTAGAGATGGAAATTCAGGTGGTACAGGATGGAAGTGTGAACTTGCATATGCCTGAGATGCAATTTGATAATGACCAGACAGTGTCTGAGTTACCAAGTGGTCAGAATCTGGAATTGGAATACAAAGGAATGGTTGATGGTCAAAATCTGTCCAGGATAGGGAAAAATCTGGAGCAAGAACCCAGCAATATTTTGTCCAGTCAAGAAAATAAATTAAAAACTAGCAACGTAATTAGCAAGAATCTCGCTGCAAAGGATATAAAACAAAGTACAGAACAACAAGATATTTGTGCTACTGCCCAAGAGCAGCCCAGAAACCCAAACCGAGGAAGGAAAAAGCACAATTCTATTGAGATAACTACTGATGCACATCAGTGTGCAGGAGAACCATCTACTGCTCACAGACCACTTACTAGGCTGAGTCTCAAAGCACAGAATCAGGCAAATGAAATGAGAATATTAACTGAGCACACATTGCAGTCTCAGCCGCCAAATAAGAATCAAGAAAACATAGAGCAATCATCACTGCCCCAGCCATTACTGGCAAGCAAACAGCAGGATGGTCTGAGTATTACTTCACAGGAGTCCAATTTGTTAGTGAAACAGTTGGAACAAGAAGATCCAGCAGGAACCAGGGAAGTTCAGAGGAGGGGAAGGGCTGGAGCAAAGGGGAAAACTGCCTTAAGAAGAGTCACCAAAGACGGAGAGAATCAGCAAAATGTACAAAAAAGGTCTTCTCTTACTGAAAATTGTCTTGTAATTAGAAGATACAATACAAGGCAGAATTCTACATGTACAAGACTGCAATCTAGGTCAAAAAGCTCTATTGCAAAGCAGAAAAACGATCCAGAACACATCGTGAAGAAGACTGAGATCACAACCAGTGAAAATACAATAACCGTAGATTCTGAGATTGGTCCCAAAGACATCAAGGCTGTCCCCTCTCAGGCAGTTTTGACAAATTCTGACCTCAGCACTATTCCAGCTCCTTCACCTTTGTTCTGTAACGTAACTGACACCAAGCTCATCCCAAAAGATCAACAACCTCCAGAAAAAATACACAAGTCCAAACCAATTAGCCTTCAGCAGTATCGTATGAGATTACAGCAAAGGCAGCAGAACTCCAGGACAGGAAACTACATGACAACCCAACCTGTCAGTGAAAGGACCTGCAAAGCTTCCTGGCCAGTAGTTCCTGTTCAGTCCATTATTCAGGGAGAATTGAGTATCCTCCCATTGGAAACTATTGGCCAGAAGCTCACCACTATCCAAGCAGTAGCACCACATGGCAGACGAGAGGCATCACAGGCGGTACAGGCTCCAGACTCTAGCCACAGCACCAGACCAGATTCTCCTGTGAGCCACAATCTAGCCAAGCATACTGCAGGCATCCTGAAGTTTGGAAAGAATCAATCCAGCCAAATGCCTGCTCAGACACCAACCCAGGATGCCCCAGTTACTTTGCCCACAGTACAGCCTGCACCAATTATTGCTGCATCAGTTGGAATTACTGCATCACCTGTTGTAAATCGTTTAACTATTCACGGTGCACCTGCAGAATGGTATCTACTGGAACAGCCTGCACCAGCCCAGGTATCTATGGCACCAGCCCAGGTATCTATGGCACCAGCCCAGGTATCTATGGCACCAGCCCGGGTATCTATGGCACCAGCCCGGGTATCTATGGTACCAGCCCAGGTATCTATGGCACCAGCCCGGGTGCAGCCTGCGCCAGCCCGGGCGCAGCCTGCGCCAGCCCGGGCGCAGCCTGCGCCAGCCCGGGTGCAGCCTGCGCCAACCCAGGTATCTATGGCACCAGCCCAGGTACAGCCTGTGCCAGCCCAGGCACCTGTGGCACCGCCTTCATCATTCAACATCACATCAGTCTCATTTGCTGCAGCATCACTCCAGGCATCCAAGGTTTTGGTCAACAGCAAATCAGCCTCAACTGCTCTGATTCAGTTCGATCCAGTGCCCCAAACCCTTGTGGGAAAGTCTGTACCATCAGAAGCTGCACCTGTCCCAGTTATCCAGACTGCACCAGTAGAACAGCGGCTCCCAGTCCAGACCGCTGCAGCTCACACTAAACTTGTGCACAAGGTTACAAGAAGGTCTTCAGGAAAGAAGAATGGTGATGAAAGAGAGAAACCCAAAGGTTTGTACAGTGGCTTAAAATCTTTAAAATAAAACTTGTTAAAAGCGCTGGCCATTTGTGAGTGGTATTTGTTAAGGGCCAGTAAGAAAACTTTTCCCTGATTTTTCATAGCATTACTCCTTTCTGTGACTCTTTAGTACCTTGTCGCTGGAGTTGCTCCATTAGGCCGCTGGTGCTTCATGCTAAAACTGAAGGGAGAAGGGTAACTCCAGAGCATACACTTGTATTATAAAGTTTCAGTTAATACGATATGCACCTGATCTCATAACATTAATAGAGTTACCCAGCAATGATTCCTACAAAGTGCATCAATTTGCATTGTATTTCAATCAGGAGCAAGAACTTAGCTGATTTTAACTTCTCCTTCTCCCACCCCTGCTGAGATTACATTTGGGACCTTCCTGGTTCCTATAGCTGGTAGCTTCACCACTTTGGAATAATAATAATAATAATAATAATAATAATAATCCTTGCATTTGATATAGCGCTTTTCACGTCGGGAGGACGTCCCAAAGCGCTTCACAGAGTACACTTTAAAGTGAATTGACTGTATATTTGTGGGCAAACGCGGCAGCCAATTGCGCACAGCAATGTCCCACAAACAGTCGTAGATTTGAAAATGACCAATTTATTATTGTTTTTGGTTTTGGAGGATTATTATTAGGCTCTGTGTGGAGTAAGGAAACTTGCCCAAGGTTTCGCCCTCTGCCTGGAATTGAACTCAGGTCTCTCACTTGTAAAGCGAGTGCTCTAACCACTGAGCCACAGGACTCCAGTAAGTGCAGACTAGTTGGCCAATTGAGCTTGCTTTATGGCAGGCTTTTATCTTCCATACGTATCATATGGGAGCCTTAAGCCTTAACTTTTAAAATTAGATTTACATAGACTGTGCAACACGGAAACAGATCATTCGGCTCAATTTGTTTGTGCTGGGGTTTATACCCCACACGAGTCTTCACTCATTCCTTATTCCCTTCCATACCTTCTATTCCTTTTTCTCTTGTGTGTCTATAGAAAGACATTTGAGAGAGTTATTAGATTTTTATTCCAACAGTGTGTTGTGAGTATTGTTTAATGTTTAAAAAAAAATTAAGATGCCCCCTTGTTATCAATTAACAGAGATCAAATGGTCTTTGGTGCCCATATGTTTCCATCTCCGTAAAGCTACTTTCCTCCGAAGGAATAGGGGAGGATGAAGCCTGAGTTTATTAAAAATGATTTACTTTTGGAGGCACTGCACTGCCGGTGCCCCTAAACAAACTAGATTCATCAGTTGATTAAAGTAAAGCCTTGATTCTGGATTTTAAACTGTTGGATAATAGTAAAATACTTGAATTTGATATACCACCTTATCACGTCTTCGAGACGTCTCAAAACGCTTCACAGAATATACTTTAAAGTGAAACAAAAACAGAAGTCGCTGGGAACACTCAGCAGATCAGGCAGCATCTATGGAGAAAGGAAAGTGAGTCAATGTTTCAGGTCCACGACCCTTCTTCAGAATTCAGTTCTGTCGAAGGGTCGTGGACCCGAAACGTTGACTCACTTTCTTCATAGATGCTGCTTGACCTGCTGAGTGTTCCCAGCGACTTCTGTTTTTGTTTCAGATTTCCAGTATCTGCAGTATTTTGTGTTTTGTTTTATACTGTGAAGTGAATTGACTGTATATTTGTGGGCGAAAAGCGGTAGCCAACAGCACACAGCAACGTTCCATGTGGAGTTAATGGTGAGTGGCACTGAGTTGCTTACAGGATTTATTTTTAATTTACATTTTCCTGATGGAACCAAAGCCTGTGATGGATTTGTTCTATTTACATATTTTTAAGAACGTAAGATGAGGAATGAGGATCCTACTATTTGCTATTTGGTTCTTCCTGTTTTACTCCTGCAGCTTTGCCTCCATTCTATCCCAATATAGCTTTGTTTGCGTTCTCATTGGAAACTTGACCATTACTAACGCTGTCTCTCTCCCTTCCAGGAATTGTAGCTCCAGATTTGATGAGCTTGCTGGAACAATTTGAAGAGACGGAAGGCAAGGAATTTTGCTTCTGTTTATTTCCACCAGTTAATTTCATTGATAACATAAGGTCCTACCCCACTGTCATGCATGTTTATCTGTTGGGGTTCCCTGAAGAAGTTAAAAAGCAAACATTGCACTAAAATCAGTGAGTAGTATTAGAAAGCAAGTTCGTTATTTCCTTAATTTGCTCACAATTCCAGTTCTCAGAGATTCCCTGCCATTTCCCTAGCCTGTCTATGGTCTAGTCTAGCACTGCACTAGGAGAATAAGTAAATCTCTACTAACAATTTAAATCCAACATCCATTCATCTGAATGTAAACCTAAAGCAAGTAAATGTGGCCTTGAAGTCTTACTGAACATGTTCCCCTGAGGGAGTATGTTGCTCCTGCCTATATTGTGACATTTGCTTTTTTTGCAGCCACAGAAGAGATGATCAAGCCACTGCCCAGGGAGTTGCTTTCTGTGAGCACTGTGGGGTAAGTAGGGAGATGGGGCAGTGCTTTGCTAGTAATGTTGCCTGTCTGTTGGGGTGGAGAAAGTTAAATGTAGGTTAGTTGCACTGTAAGAATCAACAGTTTGGGTAGTATAAAAATTAGACAAGGCCAAATGTGGATTAATTTTTTAACCAATATATTTTACCAAATCACTGTGTAGAGCATAGATATTCCTGTTTCCTGAGCTCCATTCTAGGTTAACCTTAGTTGCGTGTGGTGGGAGTATCTGTCACTAAAGCCAATGGTGTCCAACCTTTATGGTCAGCCAACAAATTACATTTTCTTGATGGAACACAGACTTACCTAGACTGGTGCAAATGTTCAGAGAGACGCTTCACTAGTGGTCACTTGTGCTTTAAGGCAATGACTAGAGCCCCTTGAAACTCTTTTTATTTTTCTATACTTTTTCTTGTATTTTTCAGGAATCTCATGTTATTTTATTCTATCCATTAAAAATGTTTTACATCTTTTAATTACATTAAAGTAACTGTAATAAAAAGAAATAAAATATTTAAATTAATGTATTGCATTAATGCAAATGTAATAAAAAGAAATAAAACATTTTTAATGGGTAAAATGACATTTATTCTCTCCGCCTCAACGCTTTTCCCTCTCCAGCCGTCCCTCGCTCCACATGCCAGGCCTTCCTGAAGCTGTTCGCTTGAATTAGAATTGCCAGATTCTGTAAACCTTGTAACTCTCTGTTGATAGGTCAACCTCCTATGAAGAGATGAAACCACTCGATCATATATTTGGAGCTGAGCTGGCTAGCACAGCAGGTGAGTATTGGACTCTTTCATTCCAGACTAGTGGTTGAATTGTACTCTGTACTAATTGCAAATGTTGTATATAGGTATTGATCAGCTTTATTTATAATAATAATCCTTACATTTGATATAGCTCTTTATCACATTTTTGAGGCGTCTCAAAGCAATTCACAGGATATACTGTAAAGTGGATTGACTGTATTTTGTGGGCGAAACGCAGCAGTCGGTTTGTTCCACAATCAGCCATGGAGTGAGTGGTCAACTTTATTTCAAGGATTTGTTGGCCAGGACACAGGGAAAAACTTCCTTCTCTTTTTCAAATAGTGCCATGGCATCTTGAGACAGGCAGATGGGACATCAGTTTAACATCTCATCCAAAGGACGGCACTGCTGACAATGCAACCTACTCCCCCACCCAGCAATGCATTGGAGTGTCATCTTAGAGTATGCAGCACTCTGGAACACTACCCTGCATGAGGGGTGCTATATAAATGCAATTTGTTGTTGAGAGCGTTCCCACTGAACCAGGCTGACACACAAATTTAGTTGACTGTCTCAATCTCCTCTGAACAATGTTTTTAACCAGTTGAACAGATTCTAAATAATTTTTGTGCTGATATCTGTTTTCAGGTTTGACTCCTCCAGCAACCCCACCTCATCAGCTTTGGAAATCTGTGCCTCCGGTCACCCTTTTAGGAAAACGGAAAGTGTACAACACCGCAGAGGGTTCTCCAGGCTCTCCACTGAGAACAGTAAAGTTAATTGAACCCAAACCCTTGTCACAAAGTAACAGCAAAACAAAGTGCATGATCCGTGTGGACCAGCCCTTCCCCAAGAGTCCTGTGAAGGCACACATTGGCTTTGGTGATCATGAATATTGTTTGCCAGCAAATGACAGCATAAGCAGACAGCCGATGTATTCCACAGTGTCTACAGCGCACACAGCCTGTTGGCAAGGTGAAGCATCTGCAGATGTTGGCTGTCGCTGGAATGTGAAGCGCCAAGCAAGTATCACCATTAAACCTATTGCCTCCATGAACTCTCGACCTCCGTCCTGCAATGCTGTCAAAAACAAGACCAAGGCAGCTGAAGAGGAACGTTGTTTCACGGATGATGACGTTTCAGGTTGCCAGGGAACGACAGACTCTGAATCCAGGCAGTCTTCGGATTTTGTTAATCAAATCAGAAATGCTGAAATAAAAGCAGAAGATGCCGCTGATGTTGGGAGAAGTGGCTCAAAGGCAGCAGGCAATAGAAGCAGCATACAAAAAGATGCCTTCTGTCCCAGAAGCAACGGAAAAGGCACCAGTGTAATACACTCATGCTTACAATCACAATCTGTCTCGCCTCATAGAAGTGCACAGACTGGGTCCAACCAGTTGGATTCTCATAGAGCTTATTCCCGAGGCAGGACAACCTCATACCGTAGATATCACCGATCCACCAGCTCCTCCAGCTTGGATTCCACCTCCTGGTCCCGATCCCGATCACGGTCTCCTGCAGGGAAACAGAGAAGGTAATGTTAGCATGAGTTCCCAAGGTGACTGGAATGAGTTCTATTAAATATAGTAAAATTCATTTAAGGGAAATAGAGATCAGAAAGATGCAAATTGCGTATTTTAAAAATGTGACTGAGCATCAATGATTATTATAGATTTAATAATGGAATAATTTGGCTATCAGGGTTCAAAGCTTGAAAGGCACAACATCTGATTCCTGGCTGTAATGTAATTGACTCATCGTCCTGGCCTACTTCACATTAACATTTCCAAAGATAGACCCCACAGACTGTCTCTGACAGTTCCAAGAGGAAAAAATACAACAATTTACAAATTGCTTCCTTTTCGGGAACAGATATTACAGAAGACGATCTCATCGCTCCCGATACAATTCTCGGTCCAGCTCATGCTCCAGATCTTATTCAAGATCCAGCTCACGATCGCTCTCAGGATCAAGGTCCAGATCAAGGTCTTCACACAGGCATGGAATACAAAAAAGGTACAGAAATACCACTGGTTTCCGTTTCAAGTGTCAGTTGCATTTATACAATAACCTGGTACTCACGTGTTGGTGCTGGCTTCGCTCTGTTGTGGGTACCGCAAACCCAGCCATAGTCTCCCTCCCCCTGACATGATACACAAATGTTGGTCTGTTTTGGGGCTGAGTGCTTCTCTGGTATATGTCCGTCTAATTGCATCACATCTCTCTCCAGTTATGACACCGATGATTCTGATCTGTATGAGAATGCATACGAACAATGCCATGGACATAGCAGCACCCACTGGAGAGAGCTTGCCATTGTAAGTATTTACCATCTTTCTCATTCTTGTACGTTTGTGATCATAATTTGGAAAGTTGGTATCTCTCTTGTCTGCTTAAAGTAAAATATGTTTAAAGTAAAAACATTGTGTGCAAAACTACAGTGTGATCAAGGTAGAAAACCACAGAAGCCACTGCATTGCTTGTTTAGCAATGCAGTGGCTTCTGTGGCTTTCTACAAGTCTAATTGTTCTCGTTTATTTACATCAGGAGGAACGGCGAGTTGTGTACATTGGGAAAATCAGAAATGGGATGATGAGAGAAGAACTGAAAAGAAGATTTGAAGTGTTTGGTGAAATCGAAGATTGCAATATTTATTTCCGAGAGGAAGGGTAAGTGCCAAATTTACATTCATATTGTGCCTTTCACTTGGGCTGGGCTCTATACAAATTGCTCACCTTGTGCTGGTTGGTGCAATAGAATTCTGTGGTGGGTTTGACATTGTCCTTGTTGTCTTTAATTCTGATGTTAAACTGACATTCAGGGTTCAACACTAACCTGATAAATATCGAATGACCAAAGCTTCTGAATTCAGCCAGTGGTGCTCAGCACTTTCTAACTTCACTTTCTTTCAGGGACAATTATGGATTTGTCACCTATCGCTATACTTGTGATGCTTTTGCTGCTATTGAGAACGGGCAGACAGTGCGCAGACCTGACGAGTTGCCATTCGACCTGTGCTTTGGTGGCCGCAGACAGTTTTGTAAAACGAGTTATGCCGATCTAGGTGAGTTTAGGGTGAATAAAACAAAACTTACTGCTAAGTACCTTTTAGTTCTTAATTTCCTTATTGCTTCTTAGTTGGTGCTCAGTGACTGTCAACTAATTCCCCTTGTTTTTTACTAGTAGAACCATAGAAATTTATGGTCATAATATAATATAATAATTCATAATAATAATGCATTTGATATAGCGTTTTTCATGTCTTCTAGACGTCTCGAAGTGCTTAACAGAATATGCTGTAAAGTGAGTTGACTGTATATTTGTGGGTGAAACGTGGCAGCCAATTGCGCACAGCAGCATCACTCCTAGATTGAGTGACCAAATTCCTATTTTTTTTGTGGGATTATTATCCCCGGAAAAGCGATCCACCAATCGACTAACAACCTGGTTCCTACTTACTGATAGGTAAACAAAAGCATGTGGAGTAAGGAAACTTGCTTATTATTTCATCCTGCCAGGAATTGTACCCAGGTCCTCTCGCTTGCGAGGCGAGTGCTCTAACCACTGAGCTTCATGACTCCACATGAAGTATGCTGGGGTAACCTGCATCTCTGAAAATGCAGGACAAACAGATTATAAAAAGACTACAACACTAGCGGAGTCCTGTAGCTCAGCGGTTAGAGCACTCGCCTCACAAGTGAGAGACCTGGGTTCGATTCCCGGCAGGGAAAACCTTGGGCAAGTTTCCTTACTCCACACACCTGATAATAATCCCTCAAGAAAAAAAATAATAATTTGGTCACTCAATCCATAGCTGTTTTTGGGACACTGCTGTGCGCAATTGGCTGCCGTGTGTATTGACTGTATGTTTTGTGGGCGAAGTGGGACTTTGACCTCATAATCTCGCGCTGATAGACCAATAGTGGCCTAACGGTCCACCGACAAATCTGGCTGGACCTCCTCAAAATCTACCGCTCCACTCTAGCCTCGGCCAAGTCGTCCTTCTACTCCAGGATAATCCTGGAGGCGAAGAACAACCCCAGGCTTCTGTTCTCTACCACATCCCAGCTCCTCTGCCCCCCTGCCACCCCGTGCTGGTCATTTCCTCCAACCTTCACTGTGAGGAGATGCTGGATTTCCTTGAATCCAAAATCAAGGGAATCCGCTCTGCGGTCACTGCCCCTCCAACTTCCACCAACCCCCCGCCCCTTCCCTCCCACACTCCGACTCCTACCCATCCTCCCCTACACACCTTCGAACCCGTTTCCCCACCCTCTGTCTCCAACCTCATCCTGTCCCTGAAACCCACCACCTGCTCCCTTGACCCCATCCCCACTCCACTCCTTATCTCCCAGTTCCACCTCCTTACCCCACTTCTCACAGACATCATCAACCTGTCCCTCTCCTCTGACTCTGTTCCCATTCCCCTAAAAACTGCCATCATCACTCCCACTTTGAAAAAACCCTCCCTTGATGCGTTGCAGCTATCAAGCTACTGGCCCATCTCCAACCTCCCCTTCCTGTCCAAGGTCCTTGAAAGAGTCGTTGCCTCCCAGCTGCGCTCTTTCCTCTCCACCCATTCATTATTCGAACCCCTTCAGTCGGGTTTCCGTGCTGCCCATAGTACGGAAACCGCCCTGGTCAAGGTCACTGATGACAACTTGACCGTCTGCAACCAGGGTTCCCTCTGCCTCCTCGTCCTCCTCGACCTATCGGCCGTGTTCGATACGGTTGACCACGCTATCCTCCTCCACCGCTTGTCCTCTCACCTCAACCTTCAAGGCCCTGTCTTTGAGTGGTTTAGGTCGTACCTCTCCCACCATCTTCATTTTGTTTCCACAAACGTCTTTTCCTCCACCCCCGCACTGTCTCGTGCGGTGTCCCTCAGGGCTCTGTCCTCGGTCCCCTCCTCTTCACCCTCTATATGCTCCCCCTTAGTGACATCATCCACAGACATGGGGTTAACTTCCACATGTATGCGGATGACACCCAATTCTACCTTTCCTCCTCTTCTCTCAACTCCACGACCCCCGATGTCCTGACAGCTGTCTGTCCGACATCGAGTCTTGGACGAGAGACAACTTTCTTCAGCTCAACGTGCGCAAAACTGAGGCCCTCCTGATTGGCTCACGTCAGTGCCTCCGCACCTCAGGCGCTGACAGCATCAGCATCCAAGGCTGCACTCTCCACCTCTCAAAGCCATCAGGAACCTCGGTGTTCTGTTCGACCCTGAGCTGTCCTTTCTTCCTCATATCCGCACCACAACTGGCACCGCCTTCCATCACCTCCGGAATATCGCCAGACTACGGCACTACCTCACCCCTCACGCGGCTGAAACTCTGGTCCACGCCTTTGTCACCTCAAGGCTGGACTATGGGAACTCTCTCCTCGCCGGCCTTCCCACCACCTCCCTCCACACTGCAGGTCATTCAGAACTGCAGCTCGTGTGCTGTCCTGCACCAGGCTTCGGGACCACATCACTCCCACCCGCTCGCCTCCACTGCTCCCCATCCCCCAGAGGATCGAATTCAAGATCCTCATCATCACCTACAAGGCCATTCACGGCCTTGCACCCTCCTACCTCTCCGACCTACTATCCTCCGTTCCTCTGGCTCCGGTCTGCTCCACACCCCCCACCCTAACCGTCCTACCATCGGTGGCCGAGCCTTCAGCCTCTCAGCCCCGAGGCTCTGGATCTTCATCCCCAGTGCCTTTGCCGCTTCCTCCCTTTCCTCCTTCAAGGCCGGTCTCAAGACCTTTCTCTTTGACCGAGCCTTCAGCTCCCCTCTCGACTCTCTACCCCCTCCTCGCTCCCTCCCTTCCCTCCCATCACCCTGACCATTTCCCCCCTCCTCGCTCCCTCCCTTCCCTCCCATCACCCTGACCATTCCCCCCCTGCTCGGGTCCCGACCCAACTGTCCAGTGCCTTAGGACGTCCTCCCGATGTGAAAGGCTCTCTATTCATGAAATCTTGTTGTTGTTGTTATTGTGTTCTTTGTGTGTGTTTCACCCACAAAATACAGTCAAATCCACTTTACGGTTTACCTTTGAAGGTCTTTGAGACGTTGCTATAAGGCGCTATATCAAATGCCAGGTTTATTATAATAGAGTGCTGGGGGAATGCTCAGATGAGTTGTTAAATCCAGGATCTATTTGTACCCATTCTGTTCAGCCACTATTTGAAAAGCGAAAGGAATTTCTTCCAGTGTGCTGGCCAATGATTCCCAGATAAAAATTGGTAATTTACTTCATGGCTGTTTGTGGGATATTGTATGTGCAAATTGGCTACCATGTTTGCCCACAATTATAATAATAATAATAACTAAATCACTACAATTTACAGTAAAATCCTGTAAAGCGCTTTGAGATGTTTTACCCAAACAAATAACCAATAAAATAAATGCTCTTATTTATGATCTCAGTTTTCTTTTACTGTATATTCTATATCCAGAAGAGGCCCGGGTTGTAATCTGCCCTTGAGCCTCTGAAAATCCACCTTGTAACGCGTTAACTAAAACAACAACGACAAATTACGTTTGTATAGCGCCTTTCACATCGGGAGGATGTGAATATGAAAATTTAACAATTACTGAGAGATTTTGCATCGTAGGAATGGAAAGAGACTGATGATGCATAACATTCCTTGATCTGTGTCACGAGGGGGAGACTGAGTAAAATGACTGGATCTGTATCAGACTAATTCTGCAACTGTGGATTGTTTTTCAGATTCAAATCACAGTGACTATAACCCTATTCCAGCCAAAAGCAAGTTTGATACTTTAGACTTTGATACATTACTAAAGCAAGCTAAGAAAAACATTCGGAGGTAACGCAGTGACTGACAGATGAGTTCCTGAGCAAGGACAGAGAGTGGATGTCCAACCTGTTTACATGAATGATGCTGCTACTGGATGCAATTCAGAGGAAATTCTATATAACACAGTGGAAGTGTCACTGGCTGCATATTAAAGTATTAATTTGCATTCCTTAAACACCAATGTATATTAATTATTACAGATCATCCTTTGTGAAAGAAAAGTTTCAAAAAAAACTATTAAAAAGATAAGTGAAAACTAACCTTGAGAACCTGCAATTATTCCTTTTTTTGTAAGTATAAGCATAAATCCCATTAATTTCACATGTGTCATGCAGTTTGTGAAAGAGTAGTTCCATGGAAACAGCAGAGCGTTTTTAACAGAATAACCCTTTTAGGGACTGGGTAAAAGGTGGGAACATGTGTACCAAATACATGAGTCAAACGGGATAAAAGCCAGCAGTTGGGAGTCAGCGTTGGAGTTGATGACCAGGAGACTTAATACATATGGGGAGCACAGAGCATTATAGATGCATATAAGAGGAAGCTAGACTTTCACATGAGGGAATAGAAGGATATGGGAGAGAGGAAGAAGTGGGTGGAGACCTATGTGCAGTATAAAGAGCAGCACATACTCGGCCATTTCCACACTTCACATTCGTTGAATATCTTTGTAGAGCGTTACCATATTAATTAATTAATCTTGACCATAAACACAATCAGAAAGATGTTTTTAGAAGAGTTTTGAAAGCAGAGAGGGGAAGGAATGAGCAATAGAGCAGAAATCGAAACAGTAATCTTGTTGACTGCTCTAACACTGCTGTTCTGAGACAGTATTGTCAGATATCAAATACTCATTGAGTTTAGTGCAGGAGAGGACATGAGCTGCGGGTTATGAATAATGACATCTTGTGGAAGGAAGAGTTGGGAAGACCAGTCAGTAGGGATTTAGCATTTAGCAACTGCACGTAATGAAACACGGATGAGGGTCTCGGCTGCCAGAGGGGTGGGGTACTGGCGGATAACGGGCAATGTTGTGGAGGTGGAAGGCAGAAGAGATCATGTGGATCAAGGGACGGTTTTTTGAGGGTGGGATTAGAACAGCTGTTTCTAAGGGGGAGTGATGCCAGTGGACAGGTTGAGGATGTCTGTTATTTAGGGGGTGAAACTGGGAGGTAATGGAGGATGGGATCAATGTGGTGGGTGTTACTCGGGAAATGATGGAAGTGAAAGAAGAGGGGGAGTCAGGGTCAAAAGTGCGGAGGGAGGGACAGGTGTGGAGGCAGAACAGATCCTCTCCATTTTGGACTCGAGGAAATCCATGAAGACTCGGAGAAAAAAACTGCAACACATATCTTCCCCTGAAGTCCCGCTCCTGGCGGCGGGGGGCGCTGTCCCTGCAGTCCCGCTCCTGGCGGCGGGGGGCGCTGTCCCTGCAGTCCCGCTCCTGGCGGCGGGGGGCGCTGTCCCTGCAGTCCCGCTCCTGGCGGCGGGGGGCGCTGTCCCTGCAGTCCCGCTCCTGGCGGCGGGGGGCGCTGTCCCTGCAGTCCCGCTCCTGGCGGCGGGGGGCGCTGTCCCTGCAGTCCCGCTCCTGGCGGCGGGGGGCGCTGTCCCTGCAGTCCCGCTCCTGGCGGCGGGGGGCGCTGTCCCTGCAGTCCCGCTCCTGGCGGCGGGGGGCGCTGTCCCTGCAGTCCCGCTCCTGGCGGCGGGGGGCGCTGTCCCTGCAGTCCCGCTCCTGGCGGCGGGGGGCGCTGTCCCCGCAGTCCCGCTGTGAGAGCCGCCGGTGCTCGCAGTCGGTGTGGCGGCGGCACAGGATGGTGAAGGCCGGGCGGCTCCGCGCCGGAGTCAACAGGAAACTAAAGCGCTGGAGGAAGGGACACAGCAGCGACTCGAACCCCGAGACGAGTCGCTTCCGAGAGGCCGCGCGGAGCCGCTTCTTCAGCAAAGCTCCAGGTGAGAGCCCGGGGTCCAGGACAGGAAAGGCAGAGGCTTCGGGCCTACACCACGTGGGGCCTGAGCTGTGATCACAGACCTGAGCCCGGGGGGGGGGGGAGGGGTGTGGGGGGCCCGGGGGGGGGGGGGTGTGGGGGGGGGGGGGTGGGGGGCCCGGGGGGGGGGAGGGGTGTGGGGGGCCCGGGGGGTGGGGGGCCCGGGGGGGGGGGGTGTGGGGGGCCCGGGGGGGGGGAGGGGTGTGGGGGGCCCGGGGGTCTGGGGGGCCCGGGGGGGAGGGGTGGGGGCCCGGGGGGGGGGGGTGTGGGGGGCCCGGGGGGTGGGGCCCGGGGGGGGGGGGGGGGTGGGGGCCGGGGGGTGTGGGGGGGCCCGGGGGGGGGGGGGGGGGGGGGGGGGGGGGGGGGGGGGGGGGGGGCCCGGGGGGGGGGGGGGGGGGCCCGGGGGGGGGGTGTGGGGGGGCCCGGGGGGGGAGGGGGGTGGGGGGGGCCGGGGGTGTGGGGGGCCCGGGGGGGGAGGGGGTGTGGGGGCCGGGGGGGGGGGGGCCGGGGGGACAGGGGGGGGGCCCGGGGGGTGTGGGGGGGGGCCCGGGGGTGAGGGGGGGGCGGGGGGGGAGGGGTGTGGGGGGGGGGGGGGTGTGGGGGGGGGGGGCGGGGGGGGGGGGCCCGGGGGGTGTGGGGGGGGGCCCGGGGGGTGTGGGGGCGCTGTTCGCTGTTCCCGGCCTCGCGCCCCCAAACAAATGTGGGAAATGGTTCTGGAATTTTTTCTGCAGCGAAAGCAATAAATGTACAAAATACGAAAAAATAAATGTTACATCAATTTTTTAGCACATTTTTAGTAATTATAGTTACACTTTTTTGAGGGTTTTTTCTGAGGAGGAAATGTAAACGTATTACAGACGATATAATAATAATTTGGTCATTCAGTCCACGGCTGTGTGTGGGGACACTGCTGTGAGCAATTGGCCGTCGTGTTTCACCCACAAGTACACAGTCAATTCACTTTACAGTATATCCTGTGAAGCGCTGTGAGACGTCTCGAAGACGTGAAAAGGTGTTCTATCAAATGTGAGGATTATTATTATATCAAATGTGAGGATTATTATTATATCAAATGTGAGGATTATTATTATATCAACATTTGCTCTCCAGGACACAGTGATCTCACAGTGAGTGCCCTGAAGCTACACAATGAGCTGCAGCCGTGCCCTGGAGAGGAGGGAGCGCTGACAGAGCAGACAGGCGGCACCTTCCTCAGCGGCCTCTCCGACTGTAGCAACCTGACGTTCAGTCGAGTGCAGCGTCTCTGGGAGTCCAACTCAGCCGCACATAAAGAGGTGAGAGGCTATCACGTACACTCAAGCTTTTCCAGAAAACGCTGACTCCTGTTGGGGGACTGACGTGCTGGGGTATTGGTGCCTGGCACTGATTGAGGTGCCTGTTGCTCTATGGTACTTTGATTGTGGCCATTACTTGTGTGAGTGCCCAAAGGCAGCAGTGCTGATGTGTGGTTGGGAGGTCTGTGGGGAAGGGCGGCTCTGTGGTGTGTTTGGAAGGCTGTGTTGCTAACGCTTCTCATTTGCAGGTCTGTGCTGTCTTGGCTGCGGTTACTGATGTGATTCGAGCAGAAGGAGGGAATGAAACCGAGACTGAATACTTTGCTGCTTTGGTAAGTCTGAGGAAGGGGATGGGTTCAACATGGACATGAGCAAGACAACCCAACTTGAAGCAGGCGTAAAACATTGATCCATTTGAATAAGCTTCCAATGTTCTCCAGGAAACACCTTTTCCCAAATCTAATAACATAAATCTGTTTGAAATTAAGGTGATCTGTGCTTTGTCTTTACTATCCTCTGTGGCGGGACCTTCCAGAGAGCAGGCAAAATGGCTGAATGTGCACTCACTGGTGATGGGGAAGCAGACATAAAAAGGGTCTGTGGCAATGGATGACCTGGCGCTTGTGGAGGGTTGAGGTGGGAAAGTGAACAAGATGTCAAAGATAGGGACAGAGAAGGTGGGATATGAAATGTAGTCCTGCAATAGCAGTTGGGTATGTCCCTCATCTTGGATTTAACATTTCTCTTTCATGTCCTTTTCTCTGTTGGTCTGTCTGCTCTTCTATCTCACGCTCTCTGCCCCAGGTTCTCTGTGTGTGCGCGTCTCTGTGCATCTCTCTGTGTCTCTGTGTGTGTGTGTGTCTCTCTCTCTGCCCCAGACTTTCTGTGTCTCTGCCCCGTGCGTTCTGTGTGTCTCTCTACCCAAGGCTTTCTGTTTCTCTTTGGTTCCCACCCTCCAATTTTCTCTCAGGTTCACAGTCTCTGACTCGTGCTCTCTGTTTCTTTGGCTGACATGTTGTCTTGCTGTTTCTCAGATGACTACAATGGGAGCAGTTGAGACAGAGGAATCAATTGCAGCTGTTGCTTATCTGCTGAATTTGGTGATGAAGCGGTATGTACAGACACTCGAGGCTTGTACATTGCTCTCGGTGTGGCGAATGGTCTGGGCTTTCAATATCTGCTCTTGGCCTGTTCCTCAGGACTCCTCCCGACATGAAAGGCTCTCAACAAATATCATTTGTTGTTGTTGCAGGGTTCCTGCTCCAGTGCTGATCAGGAAGTTCTCGGAAACGGCGCAGGTGTTTATTAATGTCCTGGGAAGTGAGATGGGCTCTGGATCCACAGCAGCTGTGCGATGGGTAAGTGACTCAATGAACACCATAGATGTGAGCGAGGAACATGCAGGAGAAGTTCCACCATTTGTTTTATATTTTGTGACTCATACATGTTCTCTCTCCCTTTCCCTGTCATCTGGCACTGTTCTTTCCCCCCCTGAAAACAGCCATTATCAGCCCCAACTTGAAGAAACCTTCCCTTGATCCATCACAGCTATCCAGCGACCGGCCCATCTCAAACCTCCCTTTCCTATCCAAGGTCCTTGAGAGAGCTGTTGCCTCCCAGCTTCGCTCTTTCCTCTTCTCCCACTCCCTCCATGAACCCTTAGAATTGGGTTTCTGTGCTGCCCACAGCATGGAAACTGCTCCGGTCAAGGTCACAAACGACATCCTGACCATGCGTGACCAGGGCTCCCTCTGCCTTCTCGTCCTCCTCAACCTCTCTGCTGCCTTTGACACCGTGGACCATTCAATCCTTCTCCACCACTTCTTCTCCCACCTCAACCTTCAAGGTTCTGTCCTTAACTGGTTCAGGTCCTACCTTTCACACTGCCTCCACTTCGTCGCAGAAAACGGCTTCTCCTCCAGCCCCCGCACTGTCTCGTGCAGTGTTCCTCAGGGCTCTGTCCTCGGTCCCCTCCTCTTCACCCTCTACATACTCCCCCTTGGTGGCATTATCCGCAGACATGGGGTAAATTTCCACATGTATGTGGATGACACCCAACTCTATCTCTCTGCCTCCACCCTCAACTCCAGGACTACTGGCGTCCTGAACAAATGCCTGTCCGACATCAAGTCCTGGACGAGGGACAACTTTCATCAAGACCGAGGCCCTCCTGATTGGCTCGCACCAGCGCCTCCGCACCTCGGGCACTGGCAGCATCAGCCTCCACGGCTGCACACTTAACCTCACTAAGCCAGTCGGGAACCTGGGGGTCTTGTTTGACCCTGAACTTTCCTTTCTCCCCCACATCCACGCCATAACAGCACTGCCTATCACCACCTCCACAACATTGCCAGACTCCGCCACTACCTCACCCCTCAGGCCCCCAAATCCTCACCCACACATTCGTCACCTCAATGCCTGATTATGGAAACTCCCTCCTCATTGGCCTTCCCAACTCTACCCTTCACAAGTTGCAGATCATCCAAAACTCTGCAGCTCGTGTACTCTCGCGCACCAGTGACCCCATCACTCCCACCCTCGCCCGACCCCATCACTCCCACCCTCGCCCGACTCCACTGGCTTCCCTTCTCTCAGAGGATCGAGTTCAAGATCCTCGTCCTCACTTTCAAGGCCATCCTCTCTGATCTGCTGACTCCCTACCAACCTGCCCGCTCCCTCCGTTCAGCGGGCTCCGGCCTGCTCCATGTCTCACACCCGACCCAACCTACCATCGGTGGCCGGGCTTTCAGCCTTTCTGCCCCCACACTCTGGAACTCCATCGCACAGTCCCTTCGCCTCGCTTCCTCCCTTGCCTCCTTCAAGGCTGGTCTCAAGACCCTCCTCTTCGATCGTACCTTCGGTCGCCCACCCACCTCTCTGCCTTCCCTCACCCCTACCCCACCCCTCCCCCGTGCTTGTGTCCTGATCCCTGACTGTACAGCACCTTGAGACATCCTCACAACATGAAAGACGCTCTATAAATGTAATACTGTTGTTGTTCTGTGACAGCTTGCCCAAGTGGACAATGTTCATGTGAAGTCCAGACAGTGAGCATCAGTAAGCTCAACTACACCCTCTCCCCCCGCCGCTCCCCCCAGCAAGAGCTCTCTACACAGCAGTATGCAGTTGGAACTCTTGCTATCTTCCCACCCCCCCCTCCCCCCACTGTGGCTAGTGAATAATAATAATCCTTGCATTGATATAGCGCCTTAACTTAGAGTGAATTGACTGTATATTTTGTAGGCAAAATGATTGCTGAAGCATGTTGTTGCCCAACCTGGTATAAGTGGCTGATTCTCTCTTGCGTTGCTCTTGCTGCCCAGGTGCTGTCATGTCTGGCCTCACTACTGCGGAGACAGGATCTGACCGTGTGGAGCTACCCGTCCACGTTGCAGGTTTACCATGGAGTCCTGAGCTTCACCATCCATGGCAAGCCCAAGGTGAGCGTCAGCCAGTGTACAGGGGGCAGCTGTGTTTGCACATGAGGGCTTGTGTGTGTATGGAGGGCTGTGTAGGTACGGTTGGGTGGGATTGTGTGTACAGGCTGTGTGTGTACGGGGAGGGGGTTGTGGGTATGGGCGGTGGGAGGGGGTGTGTGTATGATCGCTCACTGACCTCCTCTGGTGACAGGTGAGGAAGGAGGCCCACAGAACGATCTGCTCCATCCTGAGAGGCTCCGACTTCATGTTCAGTGACATGGCCCCTCCCCATCATCCAGCCGCACAGTCAACAGCCAGATTCTGCATCCAGCAAATTGAGGAATCTGGAGGTAGGGTCATCTCCTACTGTGTACACATGAGGGGCTGTATGTAGGTTGTGTACCCTGTGTGTGCTGTGTGAGAGGGGCTGTATATACAAGTTTTAAAACAATGAGACAGTCAGGTATTAGGACCCGAGCCATTGGGGGGCTGGGCAAAATGGGGATAGGAGGGTGGCTGAAGGCACGGTTGGTCTTGAGACGTGCCTTGAAGGAGGGGAGGGAGCAAGGCACAGGGAATGGGATGGAGTTCCAGGGGGTGGGGGCAGAGAGTCAGAAAGGGAGCAGACAGGTTGATTAGGGGGTTAGCAGGTCGGAGTGGTAGGAGAGGGAAGGCCATGGAAGGCCTTGAAGGTGAGGACGAGAATTTAGATCCTCTGAGGGATGGGGAGCCAGTGGAGTCGGGGAGGGTGGGCGTGATGCTGATGTGTGTTGTGGGTTTCCTGCAGGCAGTAAGGAAGCCACGAGCACTCTGCACGTGCTGTCACTGCTCCGCGAGGTGCTGCCATGTTTCCCCATCTCCTGTGTCAAGTCATGCTGCGAGACGCTGCTCAGAGTAATGACCATGAGCCACATGGTGAGTGAGGCTCGATCTGCTCTGTCCTGTCCCACATACAACAACAACAACAACAACTTGCACTTTTAACAACAACGGCATTACATTTGTAAAGCGCCTTTCACATCGGGAGGATGTCCCTATATAGCGCCCTCCACGCAGGGTAGAGTCTCAGAGCGCTTAATAGTGGTGGATACTGACTCCGAACCCGGGAGTGGGTGGCGGGGGTCAAGTGTAAGCACGGTCGAGCAGGAAAATTTTCAAGCGAGACTTGAAAGAGGGGAGAGAGGGGGCAAGGCGGAGGGATTGAGGGAGAATGTTCCAGAGTTTCGGGGCCTAGTGGCTGAAAGTGTGACCTCCAATGGCTGAGGGTGCAAGGAACTGGTGCCAGTCGAGCAGAGGCACCGGGTGGGGTATTGGGGAGTGAGGGGGTTGGAGAGAGAGGGAGGTGCCAGAGAGTGAAGGGATTGTACACAAGTGAGAGGATCTTGAAGTCGATCCGTTCGGGGATGGGGAGACAGTGGAGCCGGGGCCAGAACTGGTGAGATGTTCCCTTCACCTCGCTCTCTCGCCTCCTTCAAGGCACGTCTCAAGACATAAGAACATAAGAATTAGGAGCCATTCGGCCCCTCGAGCCTGCCCCACCATTCAATAAGATCATGGCTGATCTATTCTAACTCCACCCGCCCGCCTTATCCCCATATCCCTTTATCCACAAGAAATCTATCAATCTCAGTCTTGAATATGTTCGAGGACTGAGCATCTACAGCCCTTTGGGGTAGAGAATTCCATAAATTCACTGCCCTCTGAGTGAAGAAGTTTTTCATCAACTCAGTAGGAAAGGACTTACCCCTAATTTTAAGACTGTGACCCCTGGTTATGGTTTCTCCAACCAGGGGAAAAAGTCTCCCACTATCTATTCTGTCGTGCCCCTTAATAATCTTATAGGTTTCCATAAGATCACCTCTCAATCTTCTATATTCTAGAGAATATAGGCCTAAATTGCTCAACCTATCCTCATAACTCATCCCCTTCATCTCAGGTACCAACTTAGTGAATCTACATTGTACCCCTCCAAGGCGAGTACATCCTTTCTTAAATAAGGAGACCAAAGCTGCACACAATACTCTCGGTGCGGTCTCAACAGGGCCCTATACAGTTGCAGCAATACTTCCCTACTCTTATATTCTAACCCTTTTGTAACAAATGCCAACACACTTAGTCTTCCTAATCGCTTGCTGTAGCTCCAAACTAACTTTTTGTGACTAGTATACAAGGACACCCAAGTCCCTCTGAATGCTAACATAATCTAGCCTCTCCCCTTCTAAAAANTAATCTGCTCTACTGTTTTTGCCACCTATGTGGATGACTTCCCACTTCCCTACATTATATTTCATCTGCCACCTATTTGCCCACTCACCTTGCCTATCTATATCTCGTTGCATTTTTTTAATGTCATCCTCGGTGTTTACTCTCCCTCCTACTTTAGTGTCATCCACAAATTTGGATATATTAAGTTCGATGTCCTCATCTAGATCGTTGATGTAGATTATACATGATCCATGTGGCACACCACTAGTCACATCCCACCAATCTGAGAAGGACCCGTTTACCTACTCTTTGTTTTCTTCCCATTAGCCATTCTTCAATCCATGCTAATATATTCCCCTTAATTCCATGGGCCCTCATCTTGTGGATCAACCTTTTATGCGGCACCTTATCAAATGCCTTTTGGAAATCTAAATATGCTACATCCATTGATCCCCCCCCTATCTAATCTACTTGATATGTCCTCAAAAAAACTAAAAGACTTGTTAAGCATGACTTCCCTTTTGTAAAGCCATGTTGACTCTGTCTAATCATATTGTGATCCTCTAAGTATCCCACTACTACATCCTTAATTAAGGATTCTAGAATTTTCCCTACCACCGATGTCAGACTAACTAACTGGTTTATAGTTCCCCATCTTTTCTCTCCCACCCTTCTTAAATAGACCCTCCTCTTCAACCGTGCCTTCAGCCACCCTTCTATCCCTACTCTCTCCAGAGCTTCCAGCAACGGAAACCACCCCCACACTCCTGGTCAGTAACTCACTCTCTATTGCAGATGATCACAGCATGCGCTATGCAGGTATTCCATGGACTGTTCAGCGCCAAATCCAACTCCTCGCTTCTGACAGCGGAACTTAATGCTCAGATTATTACAGTAAGTACAATGTCCAGCCTGGGGTTAGTATCGGGGCGAGGGGATTGTGTGTGTGTTTGTGTGAGCTCAAAGTTGGAAGAGGGTGTGCTGTGTGTGTGTGTCAGCTCAGTCTCATGTTTATCCTCACAGGCTCTGTACGATTATTTGCCGAATGAGAAGGACCTGCAGCCGATGTTGGCCTGGCTGGCGGTGTTGGAGAAAGCTCACATTAATCTGTTCAGGTACAGACCAGGGGCTGCTCATGTAGGGGGAGGAAGCTTGTCAAGGGAGGGGTTAATTGGAGCGGTCAGGACTTCAGTTATCCACAATCTGCGTTGTACTGACCTGTGTTTGTGTTAGGTTACAGAGCTCCCTTTGCTTGGCACATCTCCCTCGTCTCTTCTCCACAGCCATGAATTGTCTCTTGTCACCTCACAGCCAGGTCCTCTCCGCCGCCGCTCAGGCCATGAAGGTGAGATGATTTCCAGCTGGAATGACATGACACTGCAGTGATCAGACAGAGGGAGGGAAGTGGAAACGGGTGACAGAGATGGAGGTTACAATGTTCTCCATTTCTTCTAATAATAGTCGTGGAAGGAGGCCATTCAGCCATCTTTTCTTAGTCCGAATCGCCTGCCTTTCTCCCTCACTATGTATACTGTGCAGGACTCTTAGGAAGGTGCTGTATAAATTCAAGTTGTTATTTCTTTCAAATATTTTCCCAGTTTCCTTTCAAAAGCTGTACTGGATTCTATTCCAGCAGCATTTGTGGTTGATGTTCCAAGGTTACATCGGAGTGAGCACAAATCAAGAGAAAATTGGAGTAAATGTAACAGTAAATGTCTTGTGCAGGTGTTGCTGAGAGAATGTGTGGCCCCGGCTGCAGCAGACATTGAATCCATCGCTCCCACCTCCTCCATCTGCAGGATGTTCAGGTGAATGTGACTCAGCACCTATGTCACTGTGTGAGTTTGAGTGTGTCGTGGTGTGAGAGTGTGTCGCTGTGTGAGTGTCGCTGTGTGAGTGTGTGTCGCGGTGCGCAAATTTGTGTCGCGATGCGCGAGTGTGTGAGTCGCTGTGGGGCGAGTGTGTCGCTGTAGGGCGAGTGTGTCAGATGAGGCGGGTATCAGAGGGGAGCCAGGTGTCTGGCGTGTGGAAGCCATCACCGTGCTTAATTGTCAACAGTCTGAGAGTTCTGTGTATGTCACCTACACATGCAGATTTCCCCATGCCTGAAATGGAATGACAGTCCTTGCCACACATTGTCACGTTTTGAGCAGTCTCCTTCGAGCTGACAGGACTTCAGGGTGACATGCTTGGCAACAGAATGTCAGGGCTGAGTCAATCATCTGGCGATCTTGGTAATTCCTGAGCCACGCGGGTCCGCAGTATTCCAGGGCACTGCTGATGACAGCACAGTCCAGGCAGGCTCATCAGCAAGACTCGGAAAGGCAGACCAGTCACAAGGAGCAGGGATTCTTCCCACTCGGCTCCCGTTAACCTTGCAAGCCGAAGCCCTAATGGGTGGGGTGTCCCAGCTGGACAAGCAGCAGGAAGCTTCCCAGACAGTGCTCTCAAGCTATGTGGTTTAAGCTGGTTAAACTCCAGCAGTTATCTCAGTGCCCACTCTTGCCAACCTCCGCTAATAATCTTCAGAATTCAGTAATTCGAGTTCATCCCTCTAGGGAGAGAATGAATTCCATTCCTGACTTTCAATGGAAATTTCCAATTTGAAGGTGGCAAAATAATAATAATCCTTACATTTGGTGTATCACCTTTCACATCAGAAGGACATTCCAAAGCCTTTCAGAGGATGTAAACCACGATTGCTGTCTTTGAGAATCTAAAACAACATAGATCATGAGAAGCTATTTCAACTTGTCCAGAATAGTAAAACCAGAGGACACGGCCTGCAATTGAAAGGGATAAATTCAGAACAAATCTACGCAAACACTATTTCAGTGAGCAAATAGTGAACCTGTGTAACAGGCTCCCTAGGGAGACGGTTGAAGCAGGAAATGTTGATTCTTTCAAACACAAATTAGGTTTTAGTGACATTCTGAACATCTGTGATCAGGGCTCCCTCTGCCTCCTTATCCTCCTCGACCTCTCTGCCACCTTTGACACTGTCGACCACTCCATCCTCATACGCCGCCTCTCCGCTTTGCTCAATCTTCACGGACCTGCCCTTGCCTGGTTTGATTCTTATCTCTCTCACCGTCTCCACTTTGTTGCCTCTAACGGTTTCTCCTCCAGCCCCCACTCTGTCATGTCTGGCATCCCCCAGGGCTCTGTCCTTGTCTCCTCTTTAATATCTACATGCTCCCCCCTTGGTGACATCATCCGCAGACATGGGGTCAACTTCCAAATGTGGATGACACCCAACTCTTATCTTTCTGCCTCCACCCTCAACTCCAGGACCACTGCTGGGCTGACAGACTGCCTGTCGGACATCAAGTCCTGGATGAGGGTAAATTTCCAACAGTTGAATGTGAACAAGACTGAGGCTCTCCTGATTGGCTCACGCCAGCGCCTCAGCACCTCAGGCTCTGGCAGCATCAACCTCCATGGTTGCTCACAGCTCACCAACTCACCAGCCAGTCAGGAACCTGGGTGTCTTGTTCGACCCTCAACTATCTTTGCTCCCCCACATTCAAGCCATGACCTGCTCTGCCTTCCCTCACCTCCGTAACATTGCCCGACTCTTCCACTACCTCACCCCTCAGGCCGCTGAGACTCTTGTTCATGCCTTCATCACCTCCAGGCTCGACTATTCAAACGCCTGCGTGTCGGCCTTCCCAACCCCTCCTTCCACAGGCTGCAGATAATCCAGAACTCTGCAGCCCGTGCCCTCTCCTGCATCAAGCTCCGTGACCCCATCTCCCCCACTCTCGCCCGACTCCATTGGCTCCCTATCCTTCAGAAGATCCAGTTAAAGTTCCTGGTCCTCACATACAAAGCCCTCCGTGGCCTCGCCCCACCATACCTGTGCGACCTCCTAACCCCCTACCAACCCAGCCATTCCCTCCGCTCAGCCAGCTCCGGCCTGCTCCACGTCCCCCGACCTACCCGCCCCACCATTTGCGGGAGAGCCTTCAGCCACTCTGCCCCCAACCTCTGGAATTCCATCCCCCAGCCACTCCACCTCGCCCCCTCCTTAGCCTCCTTCAAGTCCCGCCCCAAGACCCTCCTCAAGACCATGCCATCGACCACCCCCCTTCTCTCCCCTCCCTTTCCCCCCCAACCCCAGCTCGGGTCTGAAATGCTGTACTCTGTCCAGCACCTCCCAATGTGAAAGGCGCTATACACATGTAATGTTAATGTTTTGTAGGTAGTTTTCTTTTAGGAAATAACGTTACGGGATATAGTATATAGGTAGTTTGGGACATATGTACATGCAATGAAAAAAGTCCATCTATTCCGCCTTCCTGACAGCCTCTGGTCCCATGCTCTCCACAGCAGCACCCACCGTGCGGTCCAGCTCCCCCGTGTAAGCAAAGTGGACTGTCGATCGCAGATCACAAACCGACTAGACACTGAGAAGGTGGAAGGCGGACTAGATGGACTTTTTTTATCTAAAATTTCTTATGTTCTTAAAGTTGTGTGACTGAGATTTGTGAGAAACGTATAAATGGAATCCTGTCTGATATGGAAACTCTTAAGCTTGGCGATGTGTTTCCGCATGTGTCAGACACCCAACTGACCAAAATAAGTTGCTTTCTAGTTCAGCTTGAAGGAGACATGCAATCTCGCCCACTGAGTGAAGGTTCCACCAGTTGGAGGTGCTGTGTTTAAGCAGCAGCACAGAAGGAGGCTCCAGTTGCCTTGCCCCATTCCCATACACCTTCAGCCTCGTTACCCGTTTATTTCCCTCTTGAAGCCCACAACTGACTTTGCACTAAACCAGTGTTGACAAATTTGGACTCCAGGTTCCAGTAGCTGTTGCTCCGAAGCCTAAGTTTCCACATCAGTTGATTCTGGACATGGACCTGCAGTGTGTGGTCACCAGACATTTTATAGTTGGTACAGAGCAGGGCAGTGATCTGATTGGCTGCTTTTGGTTGCAGGGTGGTAGAGGAGGGGCTGACGTATCGGTTTCACGGTTCCTGGGCCTTCGTTCTGCAGCTTCTTGGCACCTTCATCCAGGCGGTCGGGAAACCGGCATTTCCCATCGTGAAGCAGGTGAGAAGTAGCAGCTCGATCACCGGCCACGGTCTATCCTCCTGTGTAGTGTGTCCACTGTGGGGGATCTCTCACTGCAACTCATTGGTAACGTCTCTCTCTCGGCTCCCAGTGTCTACAGTCACTTTGTGATCTGCGATCGACAGCCCACTTTGCTTACACGGGGGAGCTGGACCGCACGGTGGGTGCTGCTGTGGAGAGCATGGGACCAGAGGCTGTGCTGCAGGCAATACCGCTACAGATTGATGGCACAGAGTGAGTGACACAGCAGGGTATGGCTGGGGGCGGGCAGTGAGGGAGGGTGGGTGTGCGTTACAGCTTTGAGGGTCTGGATCCAGTAAACCGGAGCTAAAGGGCATCTTAGTGAATGAGTTCAATCCCACGTCATTCTGGAGGTCGAGGCAGTAATAAAGTTAATGTTTATGTTGAGTGATCAGCTAAGACCATGTGTCGTTACAGACGGAATTTTGACTTTCCCCGAAGTTGGCTCATACCTGTCATCCGTGATCACGTCAAACACACACAGCTCGGATTCTTCAACAGATATTTCCTGCCTCTGGCTGGAAGCCTCAAGAGCAGGGGTAGGAGAATGAGAAGATATCCTGGTGGGAGGGGGAGAGTGGGGGGAAGGGAGACTGGGAGCGGGAGGGAGAGGAGGGTTCCGTCTGTGTTTTCTCTGTTCTCACACGCTTTCCCTTACACAGCCGTGGAGCTTGCTCAGACCGGCCAGTCACTGGAAGCTAAAATCTACGACACTCTGCAGTGGCAGGTAAACATGGTGCATCCCAATCCCGGGAAGGGGGGAGGAGTAGGAGCTCACACTCAGGTGGGGGGGGAAAGGGAGGAGCTCACACTCGGACCAGGGGGAGAGGGAAGAGCTCACACTTGGGCGGGGTGGGGGCGAGGGAGGAGCACACACTCGGGTGGGGGGAGGAGCACACACTTGGGTGGGGGGAGGGAGGAGCTCACACTCGGGTGGGGGGGGAGGGAGGAGCTCACACTCGGGCAGGGTGGGGGGAAGGGAGGAGCTCACACTCGGGCGGGGTGGGGGGGAGGAAGTAGCTCACCCTCAGGGTAGTTGATGATCCCCTGATGTTCTGTTGCAGGTGTGGACACTGTTGCCAGGGTTTTGCACGAAGCCCACAGACACGGCCTCAGCATTTCAGGGCCTCGCACGGACACTCGGCTCAGCCATCAGTGACCGGCCCGACCTGCGGCTGCCCATCTGTCAGGGGCTTCGGGGTCTCATCAGAAGTTGTGAGACAGGTGAGTGTCAGCCTTGGACCCAGACCCTGAACTGCCAGTGTCACCAAGCGGGGGGAGGGTGGGGTTGTCAATGTCAGTGTGTGGGGGGTGTTGTCTGTGTGTGGGGGGGTATAAGTGTGGGGGGGGGGTGGGGTCAGTGTGGGGTATCAGTGTGTGGGGGGTGGTGTCAGTTTGGGGTTGGGTGTCGGGGTGGGGTGTCAGTGTGTGGGGGGGGTGGTGTTTCTGTGCTGGGGGACTGCAGACAGTCTGGGGTGGTGGTTGTCTGTGTTGGTGCAGTCAGGTTACCCTGTGTGTCAAACTCCTGTCTATATCACACTGCAGACGTGGACCGAATTGAAGTCAGTCGATTTGCCAAGAATTTCCTCCCAATCCTATTTAATGTGTACAGTGCGGAGCCGGTGCCCGGTGACGGCAGCTCACACCGTCTGCCCATCCTGGAGACCATCCGGTGCTACCTTAGCATCACTGAGCAACAGGTGATAGTCTGCACAGCACTGATACTGACCCCGCCCCCTCCCTGTCCGCACTGAACCCGCCCCCTCCCTGCCCGCACTGACCCTGCCCCCTCCCTGCCCGCACTGACCCTGCCCCCTCCCTGCCCGCACTGACCCCGCCCCCTCCCTGCTTGCACTGACCCCTGGTGAACCCACCTCATCCACTTCCTCTCCTTTCACCTCAACGTCCATGGCTCTGTCCTTGATCCCCTCCTCTTCAACATCTATGTGCTCCCTCTTGGTGACATCATCCCCAGACATGGGGTCAACTTCCACATGTATGCGGATGACACCCAACTCTACCTCTCTGCCTCCACCCTGGACTCCAGGACCCACTGCTGTCCTGACACAATGTCTGTCAGACATCAAGTCCTGGATGAGAGCGAACTTTCTTCAGTTAAATGTCAACAAGACCAAGGCTCCTGATTAGCTCTCGTCAGCGCCTCCTCACCTCAGGCGCTGACAGCATCACCATCGAAGGATCCACGGAGGCTCCCCCTCACTGAGCCAGTCCAGAACCTTGGGGCCTTGTTTGGCCCTCAACTATCCTTTCTACCCTACATCTGTGCCGTGACACGCTCTGCCTTCCCCCACCTCCGCAAAATCACCCGGCTCCGCCATTGTCTCACACCGCAGGCCCCCGAGAGCCTCATACACGCTTTCATTACATCGAGGCTCAACTATGCAAACTCATTGCTTGTTAGCCTTCCCAAATCTTCCCTCCACGGGCTGCAGATCATCCAGAACTCTGCAGCCCATGTCCTCTCCCGTACCAGGCTCCGCGACCCTCTTACCCCCATCCTCGCCTAATTCCACTGGCTTCCCGTCACGCAGAGGATAAAGTTCCGGTAAGATCCTGGTCCTCACCTTCAAAGCCCTCCATGGTCTTGCTCCCCCCTACCTCTCCAACCTCCTAACCCCCTACCATCCTGATCGCTCCCTCTGCTCAGCAGGCTCCAGCCTGTTTCATGTCCCTGTCTCGATCGTCCCACTATTGGCGGGCGGGCTTTCCGCCACTCTGTCCCCATCCCACCCTCTGGAACTTCCATCTTGCAGTCCCTCCGTCTCGCCCCCTCCCTTGCCGCCTTCAAGACCCTCCTCTTCGACCAAGCTTTCAATCTCCCTGCTTCCACTCCATCCTCCCCTACCCCGACCCCCAGCTCGGGTCCGTAACTGTCCAGCGCCTTGGGATATCCTCCCGACGTGAAAGGCTCTATACAAATGTAATGCTGTTGTTGCTGTTGGTAATGTTATTTGATTAACAGCTCGTGTGTCGGTTTACGGAGAAAGCCACTGAGAAGCTGATGAGTTCGGAGAGTTCAGAGTTCACCAGGTAAGGAGGGGTGGGGACTGTGTGACAGGCTAAGCTGACACCTCGCTTCACACTTACAGCGGGAACAATATATTGTTACTATTTATTCTGAAATATTTTAAAATAATTTCACTTTCATTACACTGTTTTTAGCACAACTGCAGGTTAGCATAACCAGGTGTGTGTGTATGTGCGTGTGGGGCGCGGGTGTCAGGCTGTCTGTGTGGGCGGGCAGGCTCTGTGTGTGTGTGTGTGTGGTGGGGGGGGGCTTAGGCTGCGTGTGTGTGGGGTGGTCAGGCTGTGGGTGTGGGGGGGGGGGTCAGGCTGTGGGTGTGTGTGGGATGGTCAGGTTGTGGGTGTGGGGGGATGGTCAGGCTGTGTGTGGAGGCGTCAGGTTGTCTGTGTATGTTGGGGGGAATCAAGCTGTGGGTGCGTGGGTCGGGTCGTCAAGCTGTGTATGTATGTGTGGGGGTGGGCAAGCTGTGGGTGTGAGCAGGGGTCAGGCTGTAGGCGTGTGGGAGGGGTCAGTCTGTGTGTGTGTGTGTGGGAGGTCAGGCTGTGGGTGTGGAGTTAGGCTGGGTGTGATGTCTCACTGTGTATCAGGCTCTCAGTGATGGACCTGGTTGTGGCAATGGCACCGTACCTGGATGAGCCGAGTATGAGCACTGTCTACCAGACTCTCCGCTCATTTCTGCAGGTAAGTGAACATTCCTGCTCATGTGCCCCCCCCCATCCCCGTGTGTGGCCAACTCTGCAAGTTTTCCCCCCCCACCACCACCGTGTGTGTGCGAGCTCCTCTGCATGTCTCCCCTCTGTTGAAGATGCTGGACTGTGTTCCTGAGGTGATGTAACCATCTGTCTGCACAGAGCAAAGTGCCGAGTGAGCAGAAGAAGGCTTACCGTGTTCTGGAGGAGCTGTGCGGAGGGCAGCAGGAACCGTGTCGACACTTTGTCAACAAACATCTGGAGGATCTAAAGGAGACGTTGCTGGGGTCACTGCGGTGCGCAGCCTCTCCCGCCAAGAGGGTGGGTACACACAGGAATCATCAAATTGGTGCTGAGGGGGTGCTGAGCCTGTGTATTATTGGCAAGGACCCAACATGGGGTGTACCATCCCGGTAATGTGCTGACACTCGATGCCCTTTCCTTTCCCTGAAGGTATTGCCTTCACAAGTGCAGGCCTCTCTGATCAGGTGTCAGTGAAGTTGCTCAGTTATGTTCAATCCCTCCCACCGTACAGACAGCAGCTGCTGAACCCCTCCCCCCGAGCAGGGAATTGGCCTCTGACCTAAAGCTGCAGCAGGTCCTCCTCGTGCGAGGAGAGAGAGAACATCACAGAGATGGACTGGGCAGCAGTGAGTGAGGGAGAGGGGCAGGCACAGAGAGACTATGCAGGTATGGAGAGAGTGGGGAGAGACTGGTAGGCACAGAGGTAGGATTAGGTTATGAAAGTACAGGTATTTAAATTGAATGCAGATTAATAGATTTTAGGGAACCAAGTGTCACTGGCTGATGCCTTGGTGTTTTATATTTCCCTCCTTCAGTTGGAAACTTCCTTAAACATTTTTTCTGTCTCCAGCCCAGGTTAAAGTGCCTGATTCACATCGTCAAACAATTGGCTGTGGAACATCAGGAGTTCATCATAGCTCTCATACCTGAGGTACGTCACACTCTGCCACACATTCATTCTCATACTCACACACTCTTGCACACAAATTCACACTTGTGAATTTTTGTGCAAGACAAAGTGCAAGAGACAGATACACAGTTCTGCTGTTGCTCTGCAGGTTATAATCTGTATGAAGGAGGTGTCGGTGGGAGCTCGGAGGAATGGATATACGTTGCTGGTGGAGATCGGACGAGCCTTTCTCCGCTTCTCTGATAATGAGTTTGGTGAGTCATCAACCCTCAAACACTGACCAACATGTGATTGGTACAAAGAAATTCCAGCAGCAACCTCCGAGCTCTGGCTTTAGCTTGGGCTGTGGATAGATCCCGGGTTCTTAAGGGAGCGGAGAGTCTGTGCAGGTGTTGGCCTTGGACGTTCCCCCACATTCTGGAACTCCATTCCACGGTCCCTTCGCCTCGCTTCCTCCCTTACCTCCTTCAAGGCCGATCTCAAGACCCTTCTCTTCAATCGTGCCTTTGCTCGCCCTCCCACCTCTCTGCCTTCCCCCACTCCTACCCCATCCCTCCCCCATGCTCGGATCCTGTCACCTGACTGTTCAGCGCCTTGGGACGTCCTCCCGACGTGAAAGGTGCTCTATAAATGTAATTTTGTTGTTGCTCCCTGCTGGGGGCTTAAGGACAATGTTACTGTGCTGCTCCAGGCTTTGCAACCATCCCAATCATCTGTAGCCAGAGATCTCTGTAGAGTATTGGGTACCATAGGGTATTGGTGAGCGCACTTTCCTCACAAGTGAGAGGATTGGGATTCGATTCCCGGGCAGGAGAAACCTTAGGCAAGTTTCTTTACTTCAACGCCTCTGTTTACCTAAGCATTTGATAGGAATCCGGGTATTAGTTGTTGGATCGCTTTCTGGGGGTAATAATCCCTCAAAAAAACTAATATTGTGGTCACTCAATCCACGGCTGTTTGTGGGACACTCGCTGCTGTGCACAATTGGCTGCCACGTATCGGCCACAAAATATAGTCAATTCACTTCACAATATATTCTGTGAAGCACTTTGAAACGTGACAGGTGCTATATCAAATGCAAAGATTATTATCTCTGTGAACAACCTCCCTCTGTGGGAATGTTGTGTGTGTGTGTGTATATTTGTGTGGGGAGTGTTATTGCTGAGACACAGGAATAAATGTGCCTGAAATTGTAACTCCATTTTGCAGAAGCGTTGCAGCAGTACCTGGGCCTGGTGTACGCAGGTCTGACTGGCTCCGTGACCATGATTAGCTGCACTGTACTGGCTCTGACTCGTCTGCTGTTCGAATTCAAAGGTAAAGAAAATAATGTGCAGCATCTGGTCTCTTCATTCTAACCCCAAAGCTTGGTGCCACCTTGATTAATATGCAGAGAGCTATCCAGCTGCTGCTCAAACTCTGCACCTCCTACTGGAGCAACTATCACTTAGTGGGTTTATGTCACTGCTTTAGATGAGACATTAGACAGACATCCTGTCTACCTTTTTTAGGTGAATGTTCAAGAATAGTCATTGAATCTATCTCTCTAACCTCTCTCCCCATAGCAGAACCCACTGCCTCAGCTCTATTGGGTCTGGCCTCCTGCATGTCCCGCGAATCCTCCGCTCCACCATCGGCGGCCGTGCCTTCAGCTGCTACACCCCCGAAACTTTGGAACTCCCTCCCTCAACCCATTCACCTCGACCCTCCTTACCCAACTTCAGTTCATGCCTGAAGACCTTCCTCTTCGGCTATGCCTATGGTCACCTTCCCCTCCCCCTGGCTCAGCTTTGGGCTCCACCATTGTTAAGCTCTGGTGCCCCGCCCAGTGTGGAGAGTGCTATATAAATGCATATTGTTGTTTAAATATTTTTCCTTGTGTCCTGGCCAACAGTTCTCTGAATCAAACATTCACCTTGTGTGCAAATTATGTGGTATTTACCTACAGTCACCGTAGCTGATAGTAATTACAGCGAGTTTTCAGTGAATAAGGTGCTGTTAAAAATGTTAGTTTGTTCCTCCCAGATGTGTCACTGAGCATTGTGTGGAGCAGAGATGTGCTGACCATTCTCTTCCCTTCTCAGGACAGATGGACACGGCCACTGTGGAGCAGCTGCTGACCAGTGTGTGTCTCCTGCTACAGAGCCGTACCCGGGACGTGGTCAAATCCGCCTTCAGCTTCATCAAGGTCGTCATTTTCATGGTAGACACGAGTGTCTTAGCCCAGCACCTGCAGCTCCTGGTGAGTGTCTCAGCCTCTCCCCTCGGTGCCAGCCTGCGCTGCGGGTGTGTGCCGGCCTGCACTGATTATTGGTGTTCTGTGACAGATGGAGAGCATCAAGACAGTACAAAATGACATCAGGCGACATTTCCGAGTCAAAATAAAGAATATCTTCACCAAATTGACACGGAAATTTGGGTAAGCAGAATATGAGGCACTGGATTGGATAAATTGCAGGAAGAAAACCTTGGAGAAAGTTTTGTCCCAAGTATCTTCTGCTGGTGCTGGCTTCTCTGTGGGAGATGGTGATATCCTTCTTTTGCTGCCACTTGGAGACACTGAAGCTTCAGTAATTCAGGGGAAACCCTCATCAAAGTATGTTGCAACCACCCTCAGACTTTTTTCTAGTGCTCTGCGATTCTATCTTGCGTCCAGGAGATTATATAAATGCAGGTTGTTTTTCTAACTTCTTCTTTGATTCTTCGTGATTTATCTTAAATTTGTGCCTCCTAGTTCCTGATTTGCAAACTAATGGACATAATATGCATGACTCTTCATAGTCTCCATTAGGTTAAACCAGCAGTCACCCCAATGCACACAATTTGGTAAGCTGGGTATGTCCCTCCCTTGTGTGTAGTTGGCATAGAAACATACGTAGATCTCTGTCTGGTTTGGCTGCTTTAGTGCCTGGTGGTGGGTTTCCACATATCAGACATTGCCCTCCCCCCCCCCCCCCACCCTCCCTCCCCGTGTGTTGCTGCTAACTCTGCTGTCTCTGTGCTGCAGCTTTGAGATGATTGACAGTCTGGTCCCTGAGGAGTATCACCGTGTGCTTGTCAATATCCGTAAAGCAGAGGCTCGAAACAAGAGGCAGCGAGCGCTCAACCGGACCCCAGGAGAGAATAAAGAGCAGCGAGAAAACAAGACTGACAGGTGAGGGGGCATGTTGGGGAGACTGTCAATACACTGTGTGTGTGTGTGTGTATACATGTGAGTGGGGGTGGCAGACAATACACCAGATGTTTGTGTGTGTGACGGGTGGCAGTCAATACACCGTGTGTGTAAGGGGGTGGGGGGGTGCTGTCAATATGCTGTGTGTGTGGGAAGGGTCAGGCATTGTGTATGTGGGTGGGTGTGGTCTTCAAGAGCTGGTTTGTGTGAGAGGAAAGGTCAGCTGCTGTGTGTGCTTGAGGGCACATGTGAGTGGGCAGGTGGGGGGAGGAGTCAGGTACTGAGAGAGGAAGAGAATGCAGGAAGCTATATGGTCTGACTCGTTGTGACTCCCACTCCAGTATTAATGACATTCTGGCTGATACGGAATCAGACGATGAGGAAGCAGCACAGGAACGGGAAGTGTGGGGAGCGAGGAGACAGCCTAACCGGGCCTGGCTGCAGGAGGGACAAGGAGACGAACCACTGAACTTCCTGGATCCCAAGGTGGCACAAAGGGTGCTGGGTACGTGATGTCTCACAATGTGCAGGACTGCATAGCTCTTGGGGGTGGTGGGTGTGGGGGTAGCGTGGGGGCTGTGTCACTTTGGCAAGGTAATTGTTTGCTCTGCTGGGCCACTGTATATTGAGCCACTGTGGGTTGAACACATTCCCTGATTCTGCCGTTTAATTGTCTGTTGCAGCCACTAAACCTGAACTAAACAAGAACGTAAAAATCAAACACAATTTCAAATTCACTTCAGACGGGCGTCTGATTGTCGCTGAGGACAAAGGGGAGCAGCTGAAAGGTGAATAAGAGGCAGGTTCTGGGTTCTCCATGCATCGCCGCTGCTGGAAGCTAAACAATACCGAGTGTGAGGAGAGCAAGAGACATTCACAGGAAAGCTACCTTGGGGCCAATGAGGGGAGGGGGGGGAAAGAGGTCCCCAAACCTGACCAGCTTCTCATGGAATCTCTTTTTCAACAGGTTCTGAGGACGAAACTGATGATGTGTTAGAGGAAGTTGGTGTGAAAAGTGTAAGTATCTCAAAGCGTGCAGGAGCGAGGAAAAAACTTGTGTTCGTAACCCCACATCGAGGTGGGTTGGAGCCACAATTGGGTCTACGATTGTCCTGAAGTCCCACTGGGTTAGGAAGCTGCTGGAAGGTGTGTTCGGGGGTGGGGTGGTTTTGAATGGGATTCATGCTATGATTTGAATACTGACACCGTCTGTTTGACATATGAACTGCTCGGCCAGGTAACGGAGAGCAGGTGTGCCTGCAGACCTCACTTGTGAAATGGTACCTTTAGCTGCTGTGCTCAGTGTGGTTTCTCTCCATGCAGCAAGCTGGACGGAAACAATCATTAAAAGGTGCTGATCAGGAGGTGCAGAAGGATTCACGCTATAAAGGTATGGTTGGTTCTATTTGGGGGTAGTTACCCTCACACAGAATCAGAGACATTTACAGTACGGGAGGCCATTCAGCCCAATGAATCTGCACCTGCTCTTAAAGCAACTGTCCAATTTCCCCATTCCCTTCAACCCTCTATCTCATATTCAGTGGAAGCCCCGCTTGAGACGGTTAGCTCCGGACCCCAGGTAAATCAGACAAAACGTCCGGTCCTGATTCCTCAGCTATTGTAAATATGCCAGTTAATCTGGACAAAATTCTTAGTTGGTTGCCACTGCGGCTACTTACTCCGTGTCTCGAGTGGCTCCGGGATGGAAATGGGAGGAGTCAGCAGACTCCAGCCATTCACAAGAGGCTCTGGGTTGTCTTATCAGTGAGGGAGGAGGAGGAATGTCGAAGACACAAGCGAAGAAATGGGAGGAGTTAAATTGCAATTGATTGACAAGCCTGGAGCCATTTGCGAATGGCTGGAGTGCTTCTGGCGGTCAATCACCTTTCCTGTCCAATGAGAATGGCAATAGATGGGAGGAGGCTCCGCTGCACCTCTGCTGGGCAGAAAGAAGTTCCGTTAATCTCAGACGCCACTTACGCTAGACAAAATGCCATGTGTCCGGCTCAAGCGGTTTCCACTGTACTTGTCTACATCCCTCTTGAAACCCAACGGACTCTCACTCTTACCTTTGATGCTGTGTCACCTATATCTGTCCAGGTTATTAATGTATATTGAGAAGGTTGTGCTGCTTCTCCTGTGTTGATTTACGGAATGTTTGTTTCAGCCGGAGGGTTGGGGATTCATCGACCAATGGCAAAGAGGAAGCCGGGAGCAGAGTATAAACCCTCAGTGAGTGACACTTTACCCTCATCTGAACCCCACGTGGCAGGTGGGGCCACACTGGCTCTTCCATCTGTTGCTACATATTTCCAAAAATATTTTGACCTTCAAGCCTGCCAAAAATCTCCTATATTTTCTGCCACGTTTTTCCCACAAAGTACATGTCAATCCACTTTACACTATATCCTGTGAAGCACTTTGAGACGTCTCGACAAACTGATAAGATGCTGTATCAAATGCAAGAATTATTATATTATTACTTCTGCTGCAAGGGCTAATCCATAATCACTGTTAGCTAGTGCCCTGTGAGCAGAGGCTTCGGGGCCAGTGCTGATGCGATCTTGCTCTCTCTTGCTGATTCCCTGCATTTCTATGTGATCTTTTCTTTGCCTGGTCTGTGGCTGCTGATCTCTGTGGCCCGTGACTTCAGGATCGGTCAACACCATTGGGAGGGAGGAGAGAAGGTGGATTTGGGCTTCATTGTTTGATGGGTTTTCTGTTTGCAGAGAGGGACGGGTGATGTGAAGCTGAAGGGAAAGCCAGATCCCTTTGCCTATTTACCTCTGAACAAGTCGCAGCTCAACCGGCGGTAAGAGACCCTGTGACTCACATATACACTAATCTACTCCTCCCTTCCCCACCCCTACCCCACACGCGCACACACACACATTTCTCCTCCACACACACATTAGTCTACCCCCCCACACACACTACATTCCCCCTCCACACACATACACTCCCCCCCCCCCCCCCCTCCCCACACACCACACACCCCCTCCACCCTCCACACACACACACACCACACTCCCCCTCCACACACACACACACCACACTCCCCCTGCACACAGACTATCCACATACATACAATACTAGCCCCCCCCACACACACTAGCTCCCCCGCACACACACTACACGGTCTCCTCCTCACATACTACACTGCCCCCTCCTCACACACTACACTGCCCCCTCCTCACACACTCCATTGCCCCCTTCTCACACACTCCATTGCCCCCTCCTCACACACTCCACTGCCCCCTCCTCACACAACACTAGCTCCCCTACACAACACTAACCCCACACACACACTACACTACTCCCTGCACATATACTACACTACCCTTGCACACTCACAGCTACACTACCTCCCCACACACACTACACTACACCCCTACACACACAACATTAGTCCCCCCCCTCCACACACACGTTCCTCCACACACACGTTACCCCAGTGCAGGGCTGGGAATCCTTTTATTATTTTAAAAACCTCAATCAGGTCACCCCTCAACCTTCTGAACTTAAGGGAATGGAGACCAGGTTTATGCAATCTGTCCTCATAATTCAACCCTTAAAGCCCTGGTATCATTCTGGTCAATCTGCACTGCATCCACTCCAGAGCCAATATATCCTTCCTGAGGTGCGGTGCCCAAAACTGAACACAGTCTCTAGATGGGGGTCTGACCAAGGCTCTATATAGTTGAAATCCTGTGGTGCTTTTTAGACAACAACTTGCATTTATGTAGCACTCTTCAGGCCAAATAACAAAGATGCCTCATGAGGATTATTACACCCCACTCATGAAGACATACACACCCTCGCATGTGTGTATTCACCCATTCAGCCCCCAAACTGCTGCCAGACATTAGCGCTCACATGCATTCTCTCTGACACTAAGTTGCTGTTCTCTCTGACCCCAGGACAAAGGCAAAAATGCGGGGTCGGTTCCGAGGCCTGGTTAAAGGGGCCCCAAGTCGCAGGGGGCTGAAGAATCAGAAGTTGTAACTCCGGTCTTGAGAGCTATTGCCTGGATTAGTTTTTGACTGTCGTGTTTATATCTGGAGCTAATCTCAGAATCAGAATTTTATTTGGATGAAATTAAATAATTTCTGAACTGCCTTGATGTAAAATCTTTGAAGATGCGTCAACCATGAACCATGGGCTGCCCAGAGCCAAACCAGGTGAAGTACAGAAAGTCCATTTCGCCACAGAAACTCTTAACTCAGGGATATGATGACGCTACCATACATAGAGGGAGCTATATAAGTGCAAGTTGTCGGTGTTATGAACTCTTCTGTAACTGGAGCTAACTGACAGTCCAGGTTGAGGGATTGCTCTAAAACCAGTGTTGATCACCAACTTCGCTCTGTGAGGGTCTCTCAGAGCCCAGTGAGACGGGTCTCTCACAACAAACAACAAAATTACATTTGTATTGTGTCTTTCACGTCAGGAGGACTGTCCTCACTACAGTTCAATAAATTTAGTTATTCTAATCCAGGAAACTAGGCAACATAGTTAAAAATACATTTCCAGTTCTTTTCCATTTAGATGAAATGATAAACAAGATTTCATTTATAGAGCGTCTTTCACGGCGGGAGGACGTCCCAAGGCGCTGGACAGTTGGGTCAGGACCTGAGCAATGGGGGGAAATGGTCAGGGTGAGGAGGGAAGGAAGGGAGCGAGGAGGGGGTAGAGAGTCAAGAGCGGAGCCGAAGGCACGGTCAAAGAGAAAGGTCTTGAGACCGGCTTTGAAGGAGGAGAGGGAGGAAGCAGCACTGGGGGATGGAGTTCCAGAGCCTAGGGGCTGAGAGGCTGAAGGCCCGGCCACCGATGGTAGGGCGGTTGGGGCGGGGGATGTGGAGCAGACCGGAGCCAGAGGAACGGAGGGTACGGGGGATAGTAGGTCGGAGAGGTAGGAGGGAGCGAGGCCGTGAATGGCCTTGTAGATGAGAATGAAGATCTTAAATTCGATCCTCTGGGGGATGGGGAGCCAGTGGAGGGGAGCGAGGGTGGGAGTGATGTGGTCGCGGTGTCTGGTGCGAGACAGTACACGAGTTGCAGAGTTCTGAATGACCTGCAGTGTGGAGGGAGGGCCGGGAAGGAGAGAGTTCCCATAGTCCAGCCTTGAGGTGATAAAGGTGTGGACCAGAGTTTCAGCCGCGTGAGGGGTGAGGTAATGGCGTAGTCTGGCGATGTTCCGAAGGTGATGGAAGGCGGTGCCAGTTGTGGTGCGGATATGAGGGAGAAAGGACAGCTCAGGGTCGAACAGAACCCCGAGGTTCCTGATGGCTTTGAGAGGTGGAGAGTGCAGTCTTGGATGCTGATGGTGTCAGTGCCTGAGGTGCGGAGGCGCTGACGTGAGCCAATCAGGAGGGCCTCAGTCTTGCGCACGTTGAGCTGAAGAAAGTTGTCTCTCGTCCAGGACTCGATGTCAGACAGACAGCTGTCAGGACATCGGGGGTCGTGGAGTTGAAGGTAGAGGAGGAAAGGTAGACTTGGGTGTCATCCGCATACATGTGGAAGTTAACCCAATGTCTGCGGATGATGTCACTAAGGGGGAGCATATAGAGGGTGAAGAGGAGGGGACCGAGGACAGAGCCCTGAGGGACACCGCACGAAATTAGCAAGAGCTCCCCGATAAGTCAGCGGGTAAAATGAACTACCTAATGTGATGCTGAACAACACAGACCAAGTAATCTTTGGTTCTGTGTGTTTTTAATTGATAACCACAATGAGACTCCCTCCGTGCTGGGTCCAGGTCATTAGTGTTAACTGTAATTGCTCTGTAACATGCATTTGTTTTGTTTGTCATCACACCTGGGTTCAATGACTCTGAGCTTGTTATTGCTGATAAGGCCATCTTTGACCATTTCCTCATCGCCCTCTCCTGCATCTTCCTCCACTCCAAACCTTCCACTGGAAAAAAATCCCCACAGTCATTCCAAGCTTCTACTTTCTCCAATATTCTCTGTCTGGCCCCCTGCCTGCAGTGATTTCAATGCCACCATCAAGCTGCTCTCCACATTAAACTCCCTCCCCCCCCCCCCCCCCCCCCCCCAAATCCAGCACAAATCTGGATAAGGAGGAACTTCACACATTCCTCACTAACATTCACAATTAAATATTAAGTTTTTAAATATTTGGATCACTAGAGGGCGTTGCAAGGAACAAACTGGTCCATAATATCAAAATTATATCGAAAGAGTGGGTGTGTGGACATGAGGTGAGGGCAGCATTGGTTCGTTTATGATTCTATCTATGATTGAATACTCAATAGAATAATTAGACAAATTTGGTCAGCAAATTTATAAAGGAATTAAGCCTTTTACACAGAATGAATGGCTCAAAAGTAATGTTAAGGATCACTGAGCTGGTAGAATTGAGATGATGACCAAAAGCATGATTGATTAAATAAATATTTAAAAGGGTTCTGAAGGCATAGAGAAGACGTGAGCCAAAGATGTTTGGGGAGAGTGGTCCACAGACCAGGGACACAAAGGTTGAAGGCTTGGCCACCAAGGAACGAACAACAGACCAGAATCAGGATCGACAGGTTCAGAAAGGAAACTTGCCCAATGTTTCTCCCTGTCTGGGAATCAAACCCAAGTGAGTTCATTGAGCTACAGGACTCCACTGTCTCATACGCCCATTTCATTCCAAACACTGCAGCATTCCAATTCTAATCTTTTAAATAATTTTTATGATGAGCGGGGACTCTCCTTGTTACTGTGGCCAAAGTGTCATTGATCACTGCTTTTTGTTTTCTGACTTAATTATCCAATTTACAACGTCCTTTATCTTAAGATCCTTCACAGTATCCATCGACTTTCTTGTCTGGCCCTCAACTATTCTTTCTACCCCACATCTGTGCCATGACCCGCTCTGCCTTCCCCCACCTCCGCAACATCACCCGGCTCTGCCACTGTCTCACACCGCAAGCTCCTGAGTCCCTCATACACGCTTTCATTACATCGAGACGCGACTATGCAAACTCATTGCTTGTTAGCCTTCCCAAATCTTCCCTCCACGGGCTGCAGATCATCCAGAACTCTGCAGCCCGTGTCCTCTCCCGTACCAGGCTCCGCGACCCTCTTACCCCCATCCTCGCCTAATTCCACTGGCTTCCCGTCACGCAGAGGATAAAGTTCCGGTAAGATCCTGGTCCTCACCTTCAAAGCCCTCCGTGGTCTTGCTCCCCCCTACCTCTCCAACCTCCTAACCCTGTACCATGTGGAGTCCTGTAGCTCAGCGGTTAGAGCACTCGCTTTGCAAGTGGGAGACCCGAGTTCAATTCCAGGCAGAGGGCGAAATATTGGGCAAGTTTCCTTACTCCACACAGAGCCTAATAATAATCCCTCCAAAACCCAAACAATAATAAATAGTCACTCTCCCTCTGAAACTCCATCCCGCAGTCCCTCTGTCTCGCTCCCTCCTTTGCCACCTTCCAAGACCCATCTCAAAACCCTCCCCTTCGACTGAGCTTTTGATCTCCCTCCACCCTCCCCCCCCCCGCCCTCCACCCTCCCCCACCCCGCCCTCCACCCTCCCGCCCCCGCCACCCTCCCCCCCCGCCCTCCGCCCTCCACCCTCCCCGACCCCCAGTTCAGGTCCATAACTTGTCTGTCCAGCGCCTTGGGACGTCCTCCTTAGGCGCTTAAGAAGGCGCTTTACACATGCAATTTTGCTGCTGTTGCCATGTAGGACCTGTCTGCTCTCATAGGGCTGGCGGTTGGGGGTGGTGGTTGGGGGTGGCGGCGGTTGGGGGGTGGCGGCGGTTGGGGGGTGGCGGTGGCGGTTGGGGGGTGGCGGTGGCGGTTGGTCGCGAGCGCCCTTTAATTCTCCCGCCTCTTCTCCGTGGGCGCGGCCTAAAGCGGAGCGCTCGCGGCGCTGATTGGTGAACGCTGTGTCGCTGTGGCCCTGAGATGCAGCTGATTGGTTGGTTGAGACGTCAGTCATTCAAAGGGTGGGACTGAAGCAGCGCAGCCCAGTGCGCGCGGGGCTGTCCGGCATCGGGAGTCCGGACACCGGGACACTGGGAACCCGGGAAACGCGCTTCACCTCAGCAGGACTCGGAGCCGCTCACGCCTCACTCTGGCTGTAACTCAGGAGCGGCCGAGGGGCAGCCACAGCGAGGAGCATGGAGTCCGCGGGCCGCTCGGTGCTGGATGTGGAGGTTCAGGATGTGGAGAAGAGGAGGAGCCCCAGCAAACACTATGTGAGTCTGGGCCGGGGGGGTGGGAGAGAGAGGCCGGGGGGAGGGGGGGAGAGAGGCCGGGGGGAGAGAGGCCGGGGGGAGAGAGGCCGGGGGAGGGGGGGGAGAGAGATGGGGGGGGAGAGAGGCCGGGGGGTGGGGGGGGAGAGAGGTGGGGGGGGAGAGAGGCCGGGGGGAGGGGGGGGAGAGAGGCCGTGGGGGGGGGGGGAGAGAGGTGGGGGGGGAGAGAGGCCGGGGGGAGGGGGGGAGAGAGGCGGGGGGAGAGAGGCCGGGGGGAGGGGGGGAGAGAGGTGGGGGGGAGAGAGGCCGGGGGGAGGGGGGGAGAGAGGTGGGGGGGAGAGAGGCCGGGGGAGGGGTGGGGGAGAGAGGCCGTGGGGGTGGGTGAGGGGAGACGGAGGCCGGGGGGGGGGGGGGGGGGGGGGGGCGCAGGGGGGGGGGGCCAAGATGCGGAGTGTGTGTAGAAAAGAGATACACCAGATCTTCAATCTTCAACTGATTTAGTTTTAAGAGAGTTTAAGGATCTCTTTCTGGACTTCAACTCCTTCGCATTCTTGACACATGCATCTGAACAATCTTCTTTCTTCAGCCCTAATTTCTGTCAGTATCCTGTGCTTCAGGATGTGCTGCTCGTTCCCCACACTCTTTGCTCTTCATTGATGGCAGAGGCTTGGCCAGGTTGCCTATGTCTTGTGCAACTCATTTAAAAAACGTCTTTGCTTGATTTATCCCATACCCAAAAAATACTCGCCTTTGGTCAATATCTTTAAATCTTTAAACAAAAGGCAATGCACTACAGATGCTGGAAATCTGGTATAATCACAGACGTCAGAACTGACAAAAGGTCATAGACCTGAAACGTTAATTCATTTTCCTCTCTCCATGGATGCTGCCTGACCTGCTGCGCGTTCCCAGTGACATCTGTGTATATACCAATTTTTAAATCTTTCAGTTCTTGGTTTGCATATGTTTGCTACGCCCCTCAAACAAGGACCTGGATTAAGTGATTGTATTGATTAAGCTTTGGATGCAGCATTGGACTTGGACCTCCCTTGGAATATCAAGGTGCCTTCAGCCATATTAAAGATTCTGAGACTTGGGACAACAACTGCTTGAAGGTGTTACCTGGAGTCTTTGTGTACAGACTCATATATCCAGGGCTTGGTATCCACTCAGTTATGTTTGCAGAGAAGTAAGCTTTGTTGCACAGGCTCTGGACTTCAAACGAGTGGAACTGTCATTCAATATGTAGGGATGTGTCTGAGCTGTAGGTGGGGGGGGTGGGGTGGAGACAGGCCAAGGTGGGGGTTATGTGGGGAAGAGATGGCAAAGCTCTCTTGATGATCTGTGCTGTACAGAAGGATGTTCTTGCAGGGAGTTCTTGGTACCTTCCTAGTGAGGGCTCAAACCTATGCTTGTCAGATGTCAAATGACTAACTAGTGATTATTCTTGGGAGGGTGGGAAAAGAGGAGGTCCTTAGGTTTGCCTCGTGGCTTAGGTGGCGCCTGTCTACACCATATAATTAGGGGGGGGCAAGCTAATTGTGGATAGCATTATGAACAGAAATTGTGGCGCATTTATATAGAGATTGTTAGGAGGTGAAATGCCTTATCTGGAACTGTGGTTCATCCTCATCCCTCACCTCTCAAGTGAAACCACTTGCTTCCTCAATCCTATTTCCAAGAAGCGAGAGTGCTTCCAACTGAGCCAGGCTGATGTGTTCTTATATTTTAGAAACTGCGAGTCATGAGAGCTGCGTATGGGATGGGTTCCTTTGTTTTCATCTTCTATTTGGAGAAACGCTCTTACCATTCATTAAAACTTTTAAAAATGGGAACCGCTTGGAAATGGCTGCACGTGACCACAATTGTGGCTGCTGAAAAGAAGATTGTGATCAGCCTGCACTAAAAGGCCACTCCTAGGCTGCATTTGTTTTCAAGATGTTTTGACTGAATGGTTTGTGTGTGCACATGTGTAACCAGAGGAGTATGTTGGTAACCAGAGTTCTGAGTTAGCTTGAAGCACCCATCTGTCTGTGCTCACGGAACAATGATGTTGGTGGTTCTTTGTCAGTCTTGGTAAATGTACCCTTTGTTCATACGAATGTTCATTAAAATTATCTTGCTTTTATCGTCGTTTTTTAAATTCGTGGATGTACAGCAATAAATTGTATTTATATAGAGCCTTTCACATCAATAGCATGTCACAGGGCACTTGAGAGTCGAGAGTTTACACCCGAAATGGAGGTTGGATTGGGGAGGAGTGGGGGCTAAAGGGGTGGGGGGGGAAAGATGACCGAAGCCATGGTCAAAGAAGAAGTTCCTGAGACCTTGAAGGAGGCGAGGGAAGGGGAAAGGCAAAGGTTCTGTGGGATGGAGTTCAAAGGAATGGGGGTGGGGGCAGATGAGCTAAAATTCCGACTGTAGTTGATGGGGCGACAGGACAGGCTAGTTAGTGCCTGTTGGGTGAGGGTAGTTCAAGAGTAAGGGTGAGTCAAGACCGTGGAGGGACTTAAAAGTGAAGACAAGGATCTTGAACTCAATCCTCTGGGGGATGGGAAGCCAGTGGAGTCAGGCGAGGATATAATAATTATATTAATACTTATATTTGTGGAGTCCTGTAGCTCAGTGGTTAGAGCACTCGCTTTGCAAGCGAGAGACCTGAGTTCAATTCCAGGCAGAGGGCGAAACCTTGGGCAAGTTTCCTTACCCCACACAGAGCCCTAATAATAATCCTCCAAAACCAAAAACAATAATAAAAAAATTGGTCATTTTCAATCTACAACTGTTTGTGGGACATTGCTGTGCACAATTGGCTGCCGCGTTCGCCCACAAATGTACGGTCAATTCGCTTTACAGTGTGTTCTGTGAAGCGCTTTGGGGCGTCTCCCGACATGAAAAGTGCGATATCAAATGCAAGGATTTTTATTATTATATTTGATATAACACTATCATGCCGTTGAGAGATCTCAAAGCGCTTCATATAATATGCTGTAAACTGAATTGACTGTATATTTTGTGGGCAAAGCCCGGCAGCCAATTGCGCACAACAGTGTTCCACAAACAACCGGCGCTTGAGTGACCAATTTTTAATTTTTTTTTATATTTTGAAGGGATTATTACCCCTGGAAAGCAATCTGCCAATCGAATAACAAGCAGGTTCCTACTTACTGCTAGGTAAACAGAGGCATTTGGAGTAAGGAAACTTGCCAAAGCTTTCGTCCTGCTCAGGAATCGCTTGTGTGGCGAGCGCTCTAACCAAGATCCACAGGACTCCAGGATGAGGGTGATAGGCTCACAGAGCCCAGTGCGGAAGAGGACACGAGCTGCAGAGTTCTGAATGGTTTACAACTTGTGGAGGAAAGAGTTGGGAAATCTGCCGAGCAGATAGTTGGTATAGTCTAGCCTGGACATGATGAATGCATGAATAAGGGTCATCCATTAAATGCTTGAAAACTGTTCGGACAGAATTAATATCTCTGCCTAAAGTCCTGATGGTGCAAACTGGAATTAGTGTCGCCTGACTTTTGTAAGTGATTTCACGCAGTACAGTGAAAGTCTTGCTTCTACTGTCTAGTGTCTAATCTGCAAACACAAGCAAAGCATATTGAGGCTGAGTGAAGCAGATATCCAGCTGGGAATGACAATTGTTTTTGCTCAGCTTGACCCGTATGGACAATCACTGCTTAAGAATATCCAAAACAGACAGAATTCACCTTTGTATACCCCTATAAATGCAAGGATTATTATTATATGTAGAAATTTCCCCGTGTCTGAAATGGAATGTACTCTCCCTGGAGGGATGCACCCTGCTTAACTAATTCTAGAGATTATTAGGCGCAGATTGGCAAGAGGCAAAGCTTGGTAACCACAAAGTGTGCTTTGGGGATATAACTGCAGGATTGTTATTGCCACTGCTTGTCCACCTGGGACTACCCTACCCACATGTAGAATTAAAAGGAGTCGGGTGGGAGAACCCCTGTTCCCAGGACCGGGCTGTCCCTCCCATTTCTTTTTGACAAGCCACGCCGGCTGGACTGTCTCCAGCAGTACCCTGGAGTCCTGCAGTCCTGCCTGGCTTGAGATCCAGACTATCAACACTGCCACAGAACGTGGATTCGATTCTGACATTCCGTTGCCAAGCTCGTCACCTTGAAGCCAGCTCAGCTCCGAGGATACCCGCTTCCCTCCCCCAAGAAGGTGGCAATGATGACATATGCAAACCAGACCTTTTCCTTAATGTACCCTATAGTTTGGTGACTTCATCTTAAATTATTTCTCTGGAACCTCCTAAACTATAATTTACAGTAATGTGCAATAGTCTGTACTCATGTGAGGTAACCATTGCTGTACAAATGTCTATTGGCTTTGTAACAAAACAAACAGTCTTTTCAGCTGTAGTGTAGAAATGCGAGATTATAATTTACATTTGTAAGTGCCTTTCACTTCAAGAGATGTCCCAAGGCGCTAAAAAGTCAGGGATCAGGACCCATGAGTGGGGGGCAGGGTTGGGATGAGGGAGGGCAGAGGGAGTAGGAGGGTGGCTGGAGGCACAGTCAAAAGGAGGGTCCTGAGTCGTGCCTTGAAGGAGGCAAAGAGGGAGGAAGGAGAAGGGATTGTGGGATGGAGTTCCAAAGAGTGGGGGCAGAGAGACTGAAGGCCCGGCCACCAATGGTAGGGCGAGTCGAGCGGGAGACCTGGAGCAGGCTGGAGTCTGCTGAGCAGAGGGAGCTGGTAGGTTGATAGGGGGTCAGCAGGTCAGAGATGTAGAAGGGCCTTGAAAGTGAGGACGAGGAATTTGAATTATATCCTCTGAGGCATGGTGGGCCAGTGAAGCCGGGCGAGGGTGGAGGTGATTGGGTCACGGAGGCTGGTGCAAGACACGAGCTGCAGAGTTAGTCTAAAGGGCATCTCTTTCATCTATTTCAAGGCTTGGCATATCTGTTCACCATTTTAGCTCTTTCTTTACCCTGTTGAATTTGTAGTAAATACTTTAAAATATAAAT